AACACCTCCCCACCCCTTCCACCCCCCAGTGCACAGAGCCTCTAATATAATATAGAAAGGATGTTTTTAAGGGAAGGATGTTTTTAAAGGATGTTTTTGCAACACAGTAATGACCATTCTAAACAAAGTTGAAAAACATGGTAAAACTAAAGCTTATGAAAATACTTAAAACATATTTTTAGCACCTTTCCCTGTCAGAACTCTGTTGAGCATAACACAGCAATATTATTAATTTTAGGCCAACTCCTTTGGAAGTTTTTTTTTTAATATAACCTGTGATTTTCACACCTAGAGTTGGTAAATTACTTTCTCCTTTAAGAATAATGTTTGCAACCATTGTGGCTCAGTGGTTGAGCGCCAACCCATGGACCAAAGGGTCACTGGTTCTATTCCTGGTCAGGGCACATGCTAGGGTTGTAGACCTGGGGGGGTCGGGTAGTGTGGGTAGCAGCAGATCTCATTATGTTTCTATCTCTCTATCCCTCTCTCTTACTCTCTCTCTAAAAATCAATACAAACCTATTTTTAAAAAAGAACATTTCCATATTTAAAACGTTTTTTATATACTTAGAATGAAATATTAAGCCACACTGTTCACACACTTATGCCATCAAAAATCACTGCTGGCTCTTTTTTCTGCTTGTTGGAAAAACACCAAGATTAAGCTATCAAATTCAAGATGCCATTCCATCTGTTTTCAGAGTAGGATGGCTTCTTGCAAATTTCATTTAAACGATGATTTATATCTCTTAGACAAGTATAGAAAACTCCAGCAGACCTGAGCATTTACCATCACATGACTTTTGCAGGGACTCAGCATTTATATTCAACAATGACTGTGCATTTCGTCGGTATTGGATAATAAGCAGCAGCCCTGTGGAGAAAACAGTGGGCTAGGTTCTGGGCTGGAGCCTCCCTGCCTCCTCCACTCACCCACCAGTTGGGCTCTCCAGGCTGAGCTGACATCTGTTAGCCTCCCAATTGGTTTCCTCACTGCTAGAGGGCAAGGCAGAGTTAAATGAGCCCTGTGTGTCAAACATCTGTACCTTGCATACAGAAAGCCACACGCCCACCCCAAAGCTTATTTGCTTTCCCTCTTTTACATAAACATTTACGCCTTAAGCTTGAATAATATTGATGAACCACTCATTCTACTAAAATAGTAGCTGCAAGCAGCCTTTTACCAAGTGAGTTTGGGTGGAAAAGTGAACAGGACTCAAACTCCTTACGAAAGACAAACTTTGTGTCAGATGCTGAAATATTTTTAATGGTGTCAAATTAGAAAAAAAAAATTATATATATATATTTATATATATATATTTATATATATATATATTTATATATTATAAATATATATATATTTATACAAACATTCTCATGTTCTAGGTATATTTTTCTTTACTAATATTATAGAATTATGAGAGTTCTATCACATAATTCAAGTTAAAGTATTAGTCCTGTTGGCGTGGCTCAGTGGTTGAGCTTCAACCTATGAACCAGGAGGTCACAGTTCAATTCCTGGTCAGGGCACATGCCTGGGTTTTGGGTTTGATCCCCAGTTTGGAACATACAGGAGGCAGCTGATCAATGATTCTTTCCCATCACTGATGTTTCTCTTTCTCTCACCCTCTCCCTTCCTCTCTGAAATCAATAAACACACACACACACACACACACACATTTATATATTAGTTAGGCCTGGATAAAATTCAGTGTCAAACTAGGTAAACAGAGAGAAATGCACAGAAGTAACGTAATTTCTGAGTGTTTAGCATCAGTGTACAGTTAAAAGCAATGATAATATATAAATAACCACAGAATGTTCAAATAACAGAAAACAACAAAAATTATTAAAAACCCTTCAAAAAATAGATCTCACATGATATTAAACTTGTGTTGATCTGTGTGTCAATAGATTAACTATCTGGGCTGTGGCTACACGATTGAATTTTCTTGAGTTTGACAAGTCAAAAAATTGTGGTTACTGAAGACACCACCTCATTGTTGCTTCTTGTGCTAGTTAGAGACTTGAGTAATAAGCATTGGTGAGGGAGGAGAAGGTCTGAAGGCACCTTTTCTGTTGATATTCTCAACACACTTTCCTTCCTAGGCTATGCTGCTGCCTGTTTATTTGACCTGTTTGCCTTGGATAGCTAGCCTTTAATATCTTATTGTCATATGAAATTCATGCATGGGGAGGGGGTGTCCCTCAGCCCAGCTTGCACTTTCTCCAATCTGGGTCCCCTCGGGAGATCAGGCCTAAACCAGCAGTTGGACATCCCTCTCACAATCCTTGACTGCTAGCTCCTAACCACTTGTCTGCCTGATTGCCCCTAACTCACTTCTGCCTGCCAGTCTGATCATCCCCTAATGGCTTGCTTCCTCGTCAGCCTGATTATCACCTAACTGCTCCCCTGTTGGCCCGATCGCCCCCAACTGCCCTCCCCTGCTGGCCATCTTGTGACAATGTGGGGCTGGCCATCTTGTGATATATGGATGTGGCCATCTTGTGACAACATGGGGCGGCCATCTTGTGAGAGTATGAGGCTCAATTTGCATATTACATATTTATTATAGAGGATAATCTCATGTACAAATATTTGATTTTTCTTTTATTAGAAAACACACTGTTTATAATGGCTACTTTATAATAATTTTTAGCTACTGTCTAGAGAGCATCCCCTCCCCCAGAATCAAATATTAGCTTTGGATATGTTAGCTTTTACTATACGAATCGATTCCTCATATTATAATTAGCATTGAATGGTCATCTTTACAAAGTTCCACTGAGGTATAAATCCTATGTTAATATTATAAAGCAATCTGTATAAAAGATTCAAGTAAAATAAAAGCAATGACTGATAGAAAAGACAAAAACTGTACCATTCCTATAGCTATTTAAAATATTTTAAAATTATACTATAACTAAAAGACAAAATGGACACCATCAAGAACCACAGGAAAGCTGGCTGAGTGGAAATTCTACAACTGGAAGGAAAGAGGAAAGCACATTGAGACTCAGAGGAATTGCAAAAGGCTGAGGTATGGAGATGCGCGCGAGTGCTCAAAAAGGATTGACTGCTGAGTGCACAGGTGGCTGAGTGTGCATCTGGCTTTCTAACGTGGGAGGGAGACAGAAGCTCCTGACTGTGCTGAACTCCAGGCAAGTTTCTGGAAACCAGACTCATTTGGGGAGTGGGGGAATCTTGAGGGCGACTTTCTTTCAGAGGTGTTTGCAATGATTACCGAGGGACACTGAGTCCAGGGCTGACGGGAAGCCAAGGCTGTCTGCTCTGCCCTGAGACTCCACCCCATCCAAGGTGAGCACAGAAGCTTTTGCAAGTCTTCTGCCATAAGGGTGTCTCCAGCACCGAAGTTCTCCCAGCATAGACACAGCTGATCCTCACAGACAATTGTCCTGGAGGTCAATTCCTCCCCGTGATACCAACAACAATCAAGACTTAACTACAACAAGGCTGTGCACACAGTCCACAAAGGGGTGCACCAAAAGTGTACACCTCAGGTAACTGGGGGATGCTGAGCCACTGGGCTATATAGGACACCTACCACACAAAGCTACTCTACCAACTCAGGGAAGCAGCCAAAATGCAGAGACAAAGAAACAGATCACAAATGAAAGAAATAGAGAAAATCAAACGACTGGATATAGAGTTCAAAACCACATGAGAAGGTTTTTCAAAAATTTCCTAGAAAAAGCCGATAAATTTAGCGAGACCCTCTAGGACACATGTGTCAAACACAAGGCCCGCGGGCCAAATCCGTCCCGCCAGGCCTTGCAATGTGGCCCGCACCGCGCTGTCATCACTGCACTCCGCTGCGTTTCCATCACAATGACAGTTTATGACTGTTCAGTAAACCATTCGGCCGCGATTTAGGCTGGATTTTAGATTTTGGCCCCTTCTCTGATTGAATTCGACACCCCTACTCTAGGATATGAAAAAGGACCAACAAAAAATTAAACATACACTGACTGAAATAAAATATATTATACAGAGACCTAACAGCAGACTAGAGGACTGCAAGAATCAAGTCAAAGATTTGAAATACAAAGATGTAAAAAACACTCAACTGAAAAAGCAAAAAAAAAAAAAAAAAAAAAAAAAAAAAAAAAAAAAAAAAAAGAATCCAAAAATTTGAAGATAGTGTAAGGAGCCTCAAGTGTACCAACATCCGAATTATGGGGTGCACACAGAGAGCAAGATATTGAAAAAAGAGAGCAAGATATTGAAAACTTATTTGAAAAAATGACAGAAAACTTCCCCCGCTTGGTGAAAGAAATAGACTTACAAGTCCAGGAAGCACACAGAACCCCAAATAAAAGGAATCCAAAGAGGAACACAACAAGACACATCATAATTAAAATGCCAAAAGCAAAAGACAAAGAGAGAATATTAAAAGCAGCAAGAGAAAAAGTTAATTACCTACAAGGGAGCACCCATACAATTGTCAGCTGATTTCTCAACAGAAACTATGCAGGCCAGACAGGAGTGGCAAGAAATACTCAAAGTGATGAATAGCAAGAACCTGCAAGCAAGATTACTCTATACAGCAAAACTATCATTCAGAATTGAAGGTCAGATAAAGAGCTTCACAGATAAGAAAAAATTAAAGGAGTTCATCACCACCAAACCAGTATTATATAAAATGCTGAAGGTATTCTTTAGGAAGAGGAAGAAGAAAAAGGTAAAAATAAAAATTATGAACAACAAATACATGTCTATTAACAAGTGAATCTAAAAATCAAGTGAATAAAAATCTGATGAACAGAATAAACTGGTGAATATAATAGAATCAGGGGCATAGAAAGGGAGTGGACTGACAATTCTCGGGGGAAAGGGGTGTAGGGGGGGCGGGACAAAAATACACTGGACAAAAATTGTACATCTATGGATGAGGACAGTGAGGGGGAGGTAAGCGCAGAGGGTGGGGTGGGAACCAGATGGAGGAGAGCTAGGGAGGGAAAAAAGAGGAACAATTGTAATAATATGAACAATAAAGATTTATTAAATAAAAAAAAGAACAGAAAAAAAACCCCCACAAAACACCCCCCATGAAGATAACTTGTAATCTGGCCTTAATGTATGTAATGTGTGGTCTTGAACCCACTGTACTGAGTTGTTTCAAGTTGTTTTAGAAAACTTTAATAGTATTTAATAAGTAAGTATAGTTACCAGTGTTTAATTGAGATGTGTTTTCTTTAATAGAATTTACAATGGTTTTTCATCAGCCTTTAAGAGTAAAAAAATAAAGTTGTCATTCATAAAAAAATAAAACAGATTTTTATATATTGACCTTATCTCTATCCTATAACCTGTTGAACTCATTTGTTTTAAAATGAATTCTTTAGGACTTCCTGTATAATGAAACATGTCACTTGTAAATACACTTAGTTTTCCTTCTTTCCTAGTATGCTTGCCTTTTCTTTCTTTCCCTTGCCTAATTACCGTGGTTGGAACCTCAAGTACAATGTTAAATAGGAGTGGTGAGAGAGAACATCCTTCCTTGTATTCTTCCTAATCTTAGGAGGAAAGCATTCAACACTCGGTCTGCTGCCATGAAGTATGATCTTAGGTGTGGGTTTCTGATAGATGCCTTTTATCATGTTGAGGAAGTTTCCTTTCATTACTAGCTGTTGACTAAGTTTATCATGAAAGGGTGCTGAATTATATCAAATGCTTTTTCTGCATCTATCAAGATAATCATGGCAATTTTGTCCTTTATAAACATAGCACAATTGATACTCACTATTCACAATTCTGAATTTTGCATTTGCCAATTTATTTGTAATACCAAAATCATTATTTGAAGCACTTTTTGATCAAAGACATGTACAGACCAGTGAAGATTTTGAGTTCCTTGATGTGCATGCTCTGCGCTGAGGTCGAACAATGCAATGCCTTCTTGTGTCCGCTCTCCTACAGAGATGACCAGAGGCTAGAGAAGACAGGGGACAGGGCAGTGTGGTGCAAGAAGGTCTGGCTCTGGGGCCATTTGGATAGCTCTGAATTCCCAATCTGACACTGTTAGTGGAATGGTCTCAGTAAGACACTTAATACTTTTGAACCTCACTTTCTCTTTTGTAAAATAAAAAAAAGAGATAAGTTGTTTTTAGGATTTAAGATTTCTTCTAGGTAGAACCAAAGGCGATACAGTTATCTCTTAACGTGAGTAGATTTCAATAAAAAAATACATTTTATCAAGAGATGTCCAATGTTTGTAAGAGTCAGACCAACAGCGACCAAGATTATCCAGAAGCAAGCTTATCTTGATGTCTAGCTTTAACATAAACTTTTCATTACCTCTCATGTGCTTTCATGACCTTAGAACAAAAAATTTCAGCTGTTCTATAAAGAATTTATAATACAAACCTTTTAACTCACATTTGTAGCAAAAAACCCTAAAGTTTGTACATTTCTAGATTATTTACAGATATGTATATTTACATATCTATCTTTAAATCTATCTACAAAAATAATACCTATCTCAGAACCCATCAGGAGGCAGTGTGTAGTGGCATAAACATAGGCCTAGAAATCTGGAGGTTTCAGTGCCAGCTCTCACTTAAACAAGATGCCTCAATTTGTTTCTCTTGCTGATAAAATGAAGTTAAGCTTGATGATCATTGGTTCTAAAAACACAATGACTTATTCTACAATAATGCCATTCCCACTGTTCTTACTTCAGAGTGGTCAAAATGAAAGTATTTTTGTTATATACAAGTAAACTGATATACATCTATATCTCAGTCTTACAGAACAAACCAGCTAATTCACAAAACCTTAAAAAAGAAAGGAGGATGAGGAAGTCTGTGATTAAATAATATAATTGCAACATCTCTAAATCCTGAAACAGCTGTTATTAATTTTCTGTCTCTACATACATATATGTGCTTTTTCACAATCCCTCACTTTCTATAAGACTTGCATATGAGGCATCTAATAATTCTGATAACTTTCAAAAACAAGGAGGTCACTTTTCAGAAATCTGGAGCCCATCAGAGAAGTTGAATGGTATTTCATCGGTTGTCTCGACTGGCACATTACTTCTACCAAACTGACACGAATAATGGTGTGTATGATGACTCGAAATAAATGCATCTGCAGTCCGGCTGCATCGACAGCTATCTGACGGTACGGCACCACTTGAATTACCAAGATGTGAATGGTAAACACCAAGGAATGAGTCTTGAGAAGAATGATAATGTTCGGCTCCCACTGAGGTGGAGGTAGAGCTCTGGTAAGGGCCACTGCACATAATACAAGTTTGAAAGCAAGTCTTCCTTCCTGAACCTCGGTGGATGTCTAGTTTAGCAATGAGAGGTTTCCCAACATTCACTTCCTGCTTTTCCTCTATGGTATCTTCCAATCCAGAGTACTGATATGATAAGCATACTGTGAAAATCAGCTGTTCCTGAAAAAGAAAAAAAGTATATTCATACAAGTATAGAAAAACCAAGCAACAGTGAGAATCCACTTGCACTCCCCTTTTCCAGATTCCAAATCCTCAGGCATCATTTACACTTTCCCTACACAAGAAAGGCCGGCTATTGTCTTCTCATTTCCCCTCAATCAATACTTGAATTCACATAATTCTAGTTCTTACTATTAAAGTAGTCAAAATCACAGAGATGCTGTGTTATATTCCTGCTGAGCAGTGAAAAGGTATCTTCCAAGCAGTGGGGCTTGAGAAACTTCCCCTTCCCTACGGTTGGAGATGGGGGTGATTCTTTAATGAAACCATAGTCTGGCTTCATACCCAAGACAAAAGGTTCTCTGTTTAAAATATTGTGAAATAATAATCCACAATCATAGGTGGAGAAAATGAGCTGATTTTCAAAGTTCAAAGGAGAATATAGATTAGCTATGAAGAGGGTGACAACAGGTTATGTCTGTAGTCCTTCTGCAACCACTTCATTCCCTAAGTTTTGGCTAACACATTCATAGTCATGCAGCTATGAATAAATTACTAACTCAGGTTTGGCAAGGATAAGCTTTTATGAGAAAGCTCAGTCATAAAGAGGTATTGATATGTAAGTTAACAATTATAAAAGTAAATTCTGATTCTAATTTGTTATTTGTTTTGTAGATTATCATGATGTTGGAAAACTCAGCAGCAAATCCTAACTGAATCTGAACACCACATTGAAATTTAAGACACATACTTTCTGGAAGTTCTGAAAAAGAACAATAAGAATAACAAATATTTAAGGAGTGCTTGGTAAGTTTTCTGATGGTAAACAGTTAACAAATACTCTTAATTTTTAAATTTGTTTTGTAGAAAGTCACGGAACCAGGATATGATTATTTGAAAATGCTGAAATATTTAAGAGCAGATTAAGCTATGTGTCTCTAACTTTTAAGCAACATGGAGGGCACTCACACATACTCTCATGTGAAAACCCTTAGGCTGTCAACAGAAATAGAATATAAGCTGAAAAGGGTCACTGCTAAGACCCCCTCTATATCAGTTATCTCTACTTTAATTTCACAATCAATGAAGCAGCACATCATATACAAAGATCACATGCCCAAATAAATTTTCGCTTTCATAAACTTTTCTGTTAGTTACAAACAGGAAAAATAGTAACCTTTAATTTTTGCAGTGAACTGAGTCTCGTGTAGAGGCAATGCTTGGGAAGCTCCTTTGACACCAAATAGCTGCCGGTTTCTTCAGGCGTCCCTTTATTTGCATCTTTTGGATCAATATCTAGGTCCTGTGAAAATCAGTAAATGTTATTAATGAAATCACAATATTGTCTATGACAATAAAACATCTTAACAGGTCTTGCTCTCTCATGAATACTGGCCTAAATAGGTAATCATTTATCTAGGACTAAAGAAACAATAAAAACAATGTTCTAGGAATAATAGGAATCTTAAATTTTGTGCTGTTATAATTAAAATGTTAGCTCTGAAAGGATAGTTACTTTCAAACAATCCCTAGAAACACTTCTTAACCTACTCAGAATTCCTTTTAAGTTTGAGCCCTATGTAGTGGCTCCTGGATTCTCTCCTTCCTCATTCGTCACTTTGGGGAAGGTGTAGAGGATTTATATGACTCATATATTTAAGAAGAATAAATGGACATGCTAAAGACTGCCTTTCCCTTTATCTTCTTTAGAGCCAATCTTCAGACATTTCTAAACTTGGCAAATTTAAGGTATGCTGGTGATTAGGTTTCAAATAATATGACCATTATTACTAAAATACAAATAAGTATTTATATATTTTCTATATATGTATACATATTTCTTTTATATTTACCATCAACTTTATTTATTTATCAATTTTCCAAAATTTAGTCTTTAGTAATGAGAATGTCATTAATTGTAAATAATAAAAAAAAGGAGAGCCTTACAAGTGGAAAATCGGTAACATAGGCATCGCACATTATTATCTCTGGTGGTTTGTGGACTATACTCGTGTAGATTATCATGACGTTGGAAAACTCAGCCGCAAATCCTAACTGAATCTGAACACCACATTGAAATTTAAGACACATACTTTCTGGAAGTTCTGAAAAAGAACAAAAAGAATAACAAATATTTAAGGAGTGCTTGGTAAGTTTTCTGATGGTAACAGCTAACAAATGTTCTTTTAAAATTTTATTTTTGACAGTATTACAGACACCTCCTATTTTCTCCCTTTTTGCCCCTTCCATGAAACCCCCGTCCCACCCCAGCCTTTCCTATCTGTGTCCATGGGTTATGCATATATGCATGCATATTCTTTGGTTAACCTCTTCTTGTCCTCTCTCCTCTACCCCACCCATGCCCACAAAGGTCTGTTATTCTGTTCCATGCCCATGCATCCATACCTCTGGACCGATTTTGTTCATCAGTTTATTTTGCTACAAATATTCTTTATAGGGCAAAAAATAGTTAGAACACTTTCTTTTGTTTAAAATTGTTATATAACTAACAAATTGTTAAAGATATACACTGACGGAAGATAATTCCAGCATGTCAGCAGGGCTGAATCATCTGGAATGGCTGAAGGCATTTCCCCAAACCTGAAAAGGATACAAAAAGGACTGCTTGCTGCCAGACAGCTGAGAGCATTTCAATGTACGTTATTGCTTCCTGCTGGTCAAACACCTGAACAGTCGAAGGTAGTTCCTCCAATCCGACAATGGATTTTATATATATAAATTTTTAAAAAAATATATTTTATTGATTTTGTACAGAGAGGAAGGGAGAGAGATAGAGAGTTAGAAACATCGATGAGAGAGAGTCATCGATCAGCTGCCTCTTGCGCACACCCTACTGGGGATATGCCTGCAACCAAGGTACATGCCCTTCACTGGAATCGAACCCGGGACCCTTCAGTCCCCAAGCCGACGCTCTATCCACTGAGCCAAACCGGTTTCAGCCTGGATTCTATATATTAAACCCTGGCCTTTGATGTGTATACCTCCATTGCCTTAGGATAACTTGTGTTAATAAAGAGCAAGGGGGTCTGTCTGGTGCAGCTCAGTTATTAGTTTGGCTTCGTCTTGTGCACCAAAAGGTTGCTGGCTTGATTCCTGGTCACAGGACACATGCCTGAGTTGCAGGCTTGATCTCTGGTAAGGAGTGGTTAGGGGGAAGCCAAAGAAAAGTGTTTTAAAAATATATTTTTGTTGATTTCAGAGAGGAAGAGAGAGGGAAAGATAGAAACATCAATGATGAGAGAGAATCACTGATTGGCGGCCTCCTGCACACCCCTACTGGGGATCAAGTCTGCAACCTGGGCATGTGCCCTTGACTAGAATCAAACCTGGGATCCTTCAATCCATAGGCTGATGCTCTTCCCACTGAGCCAAACCAGGTAGGGTCGATAAATGTTTTGATGTTTCTCTCTTCCCCTTCCTCTCTCTTTAAAAATCAATACATTTTTTTTTTAATGGGAGGAAAGTTGGATAATTAGGGGGAAAAACTTTATGATTTAATATAAGCACATTCACAAAAAGCAGCCTGTGCTGTACCGTGTGCCTTGGCCCACTGCAGGTTTCGCACCAGAGACTCCGCAGAATATGCGGTTCCTTGAATTGGATCAGTCAGTGCTCTCTTCTCAGACAAGCTACTTCGAATCTCTAGAGCCTGTTTGCCTTTGGTGAGATGGCATTTACCCATATCTAAAAGATAAGAAGTAAATATTATTTTTAGAACATAATCCTTCCGTTACCTTTTAAATACGTAGGTCAAGAACTCCCCCATACATCAGGTTATGCTCTCAATAGCATTTATGCACTCAACAAATATTTACCAAGCACTGAAGTGTGTCAGGCATGGTTCAAAGTGCTAGGATGTGGCAGGGAGCAAACAACATTACTGAACCGGCTCACTTCTAAAGGCCCCTCTCTAGCCTTTATCTTCTGTAAGTCTAATAATACACCTTCACTAGTAATATTCTAAGCCTTGAAATTCACAAAGAGCTGAAAAATATATTTCTGCACTGAAAGGGTAATTTTATGTCCATATTCTGTTGAGAAGTAGATTTAGTTAGTGTGAGAAAGTTAAGATATCCTGTCTTTACCACAGATTTCTTTATTTTTAACAAAGGAAATTATGTGTTAAAACCACCAGCAGGGTTAAGCACCACCGCGGCCATTACCCCAGGTACTGTGTGTCCTCCCACGCAGGTTTAATCTCTACTCGTGTGGAGGTGTTGGTAAACAGTGTCTGCACAAGTTTTAGGTTTTGAACTTAACACAAATGTTATACCATATACATGCTCGGTACATATCATATATGAGTGAACTGGTGCTTTTTATTAAGTTTTTAAAACAGTTAAATTATATTTAAAATACAAAGTTATAAAATTAGAATAAACCATTTTAGAGTTTCTGAAGCACCTTCATAGATCTGTTTGAAAATAACTGACATACTTTCAAAGGCTTTGTTTTTTTCAGCCGCAAAAGCTTTTCTTCAAATAAGAGCTTAAATAGGAGCTCAATATGTAAAACAGATAAAAGCAGAACTTGTCTGGTTGAAGGAGGCCTGAGCTCCAGCTGTCTATGTTGAATGGGAAAGTGGTTAAGTCAAGTGACCTGGCTAAAAGATCTGCACTGATAAAAACACGACAATAAACAAATATGACTAACAGCTGTTAGTGAAGCATTAGGACACTTAATATTCAAACTGCCATCTTTGGAACATGAAACTCTAGTAACCAGTTTGCAAAAGAATTGCCTTCTTTTTGATACGGCTTATAAAATGATATTTCAAAAAACACATGTCAATTTACTGATGTAACACTACCTATTTAGTACCTGACCCAAGCACAGCATGTACTGGACCGACAGGGAAGGGAGTGGAAGGAAATGAAAGACCTGGTGTTAGATCTCTAGGATCATATCCTTAACACCTTAAGCGCCACATCAGTCACCGGTGACTGAAACGGAAAGGAAGACAAAACAAGCTTGGCGCTTAATGTGTTAAAGCAAAAATTTAAAACCACTAAGTTGATCAAGAAAAAAATGAACCTATTTTTTTTTTCCATCAGGGCCTCAAAATTTCTATAAAGTTTCATCTGTCTGATGCTGAGAGAGAATGCTGGTTGAATAACTCTTTTGCAAACAAACTTAGCAACATGAGGTAATAGGCACAGAAAAAAGGTAAAGGGCTGAGGACCAATTTTTAGTCATTTCTCATCATGTCTGGGGTTAGCTCTGTAGTTCAAGCAGCACCGCACAGGCGGCATGTGTTTAGGTCAAGAGAGAAGGAAGGACTTAAACAGGAGTGATGCTAAGCATGACATAAAAATTATTTTACAAAACAAATACTAATTCCAAACCTGCACGATAATAGGAATAAAATAATTACCACACAGAGAACCCACAGTAGCTTTCTCTTTATTTTTTATTTTACCTTCTGCAACTTCATCCAGTAGCACAGTAATTTTCTTGTCTTCCAATAATCTGTCTTTTAAAAATTTCATGAAGATTCCATTTGCCAAACCAGAATGCTGGATTTCAAAAGCTTCTGCTCCTTGACACCTTAAAAATAATAAAAATAAAAATTTTTTTAAAAGCAAACACTTGCTATGTGGGGTAAATACTGATGAGCCTCAATTGCTTCCCTGCCTCTTGCATGATATCCTAATTAAAGAGTTATAGTTTTTACACAGAAACTAAATGCTTTGGTGCTTATTAAAAAAAAAAAAAAAAAAAAAAGGTGCCAAGATATGAAGTGCTAAAGTAAGTTATTTAAAATTTGCTATAAAAAATATCAAGGAGCCAGGGCCAGTGTGGCTCAGTTGGTTGGATGTTGTCCAGTGCATCAAAGAGTTGCCAGTTTGATTCCTTGTCAGGGCACATGCCTAGGTTGCAGGCTTGAACCCCAGTAAGTGGAGTGCAGGAGGCAGGCGACCGATGTTTCACTCTCACATTGATGTTTCTCTCTGTCCCTCTCCCTAAAATTAATAAAAATATTTTTTAAATGTTAAAAATATCAAAAAGGAAAATTAATTCCTGTATGTCTATGGATATTTCTAGGCTTCTAACCTATAATAAAAAATAATGAAGAATAAAGGAATCTTAAATATAAACATAAAAATTTCTTACGTGGCATATCCAAACACAATGTTGGCAGTGACTTTCAATGCATCCAAGATTGGAATGGTATCATCGTAGTCATTTCTATTTAAAAGGGAGGAATGGAGAAGGCCAGATACAAAGGTAAAAAGTTAAACAGCATTTTTAAAAAGAGCACAAGTAACAATGTAATAAAAATATGATATAACACTATTCTATACATAATTAAAAATTATAGATTCAAAATTCCTTTATTTAGTCATCTACATATTTACCAAAACTAACCCAGGGTGTCTACACTGTTTAGACATCTTTTCTCTTGTTATTATTTACACTGGGGTGACATTTGAACTCTGGCATTGGATTTTGGCTGGCAATGCTCAGCAAGCAAAAACATGTGACTCTGAGAGTCCTAATCATTAGTTTCCTTCTTTAGTAACACGGGTGGACAAATGGAATCTGGCTCAGCTAAACTCTCTGGATCTGCAAGACCAGGACTGACAAGCGTGAGCAGCACAAGGGATACTGTTTCTATGAGTTTCCAGAGGAATAACTGCAGTGGCCTTACAGGCGTCTGAGCAGCTGCACCTTTTGTAGAATGAGTAAATATCTAGACCCTTCAGTTCTTCACTTTGTTCTAAAGCAAATAGGAAAAGGTTAAAATAATTAAATACACACAGAGAAAATATAGTTGTCTATAGTTTTCTTCTTAATCAGCTTCAATCTATACTCCACACTTCACAAACTTAAGGGTTTCTTAGCATGTGCAGGTTTGCCTTAGATGTAATTTGCCAAGGTTAGTATTTAACTCCAACAACTTTGTTGAATAAAGATGAGACAGCTTACCTTTTCCTGCACATGTCCAACAAGAACACATTGAGACCAGTTTCTTTTTCTTGCATCAATTTCAGTATATTTTGCACACACAGACAGTTTTCAGACCTATATGGATTTGGAGCATCAATAGGAACCATAAAGCTGTTCCCAAAGTTTTCATAACCATGTCCCGCATAATATAATAATCCTGAAGAGAGGAAAAGGGGGCAAAAGTTAATTCTAAATCGTACTCTGAACATGTATGTAGTGCTCTTTAAAAAGTATAACTTTCATTTTCTTCAAGTTAATGCAAACATATTTAAGAGTTTCCCAGTTATAGATACAGTCAACATTAACTAAATGTACACTGAAAATTATTTTGGCAACAGCCTTCATTTTAGTACTGTGTTTTTGCCCATTTGTATAACTGGTTTATTCAATTATTTCATTCATTTAGTAGCTCAGTATTTAAAGGGAAGACTCTGTGCCAGCCACTCTCTAGGCTTAAGGATTACCAACAGAGACAAAATCTCTGCTTTCATCAAGTGGCAACCTGGAGAACACAAACAAATAAATACACATGTATGTAAAAAAGCATGTATGTCAGTCAGATGGAGAAAAAACATGTTCCAGGGAGAACTATAAAGCAGGGCAGGTGAAAAAAGAGTGTGGGTTGGGGCACCCCCTGATTTATCTGTTTTATTTTGGGTAGTTAGTGAAGCTCTCCCTCACATGGGGACATGTGAGCAGGGGCCTACAGGATATAGCGGACAAGCTAAATATTAGGGGCAGCACATTCTAGGGATCAGGTGGAGGAATCTCCACGTGGGAATGTGCTTCACATGAAGACAGTTTCAAAGTCGTGTGGATGAGAGGTGTGAGCTGGGGACCAGCAATAGATGTTTAGTTCTGTATTTTAAACCAACATCAACATGCTGTTTTGAAGCATGTTTTAATTCATAAACATAATACATTTATATCCAGCAGTGTATAATGGAACGCAATTCATCTCATGGTGAATATAAAAAGGAAAAGGCTGAGGACTTTCTGACTCATTTGTTTCCTCCCTGAGACCAGTAGCCCCTTAGGGCAGGGCAGTCCACATTTACCTGTGTTTTCCAGGCACACAGTGGGTACTCAGTAAGTATGTAACAGATGAATGAATAATCACAATTGAGATGAAAAACAACCACAGTATCAAGCAAAACAAATTCCATAGGCATTTCAATACAATTAATAAGGGTTCTGATAATATAAACAACTTTTTCTAAGAAGAGAAGGGAAATCTGATTTCACAGATTACTACTTCTTCTTTTATGTTATGAGATATAAATATCATTAATTTTTCATCTAGAGTCTCTTGAATTAAAATCTAAAATTTGGACTAGTTTCAGTAATCAACAGATAAGCCATTATTTCTCTACTGAGAAATGATACTATGAAAACTGCACCAAATAACCCTAAAGATTTTCTTGAAAAGAAGTTTGTTTAAGTTATATAAAAAAAGACATAACAAAAATAGCAGGATGGGCTTCCTTATAAAAATATTTGAGAGAAGTACTTGTGAAGACAATATCCCATAAGCATGTAATCTCTAGAATCCACTAATTTTGTTCTCTTAGATTCTGGAATGAGACTTCTTTATATAGTATTCTAAAGTTAATAGTAAAAAGGCCTTTAGATAGGGAACAACAACAAAAACACCAATACAGTTACAGGCCCAACTCCAGCAGAGAATGTGGCTTTACACACACACACACACACACACACACACACACACACACACTTGCAAGATCCAGATCTTCTACTTAAACTCTTATTAAAATAACAAAAATGATTCATACGACAAAACAGACAACACATTAATTCTGTATGGGTTTAATTTATATCTCATGTGTGCCTTGAATATAATCATGTAAGTACTGCAGGAAATGAAAAAGAAAAGGAAGACTAAGTTCTTGTCCCTGAAGTTCTTACAACTCACGTCAGGCAAGCTCATGTTGCTAGTTAAACAACAAAGGAAATTAGCATATGATTATTACCATAAATTATGCAATCAGGGCAGCCCTGTATGATATGAGTGAAGCACAGAGAGGAATGTAAGTGTGAAGGGTAGTAAACACATTGTCTTGGGAAAAAGGGTACAATCTGGGAAGGCAGAGGGAAAGAAGTATATTACAGTTAGGGAGAACAGAAGCCAAGAAGCCAACAGAGCTCGGACCTGAATGACAGCTAACAGGAAGAATACTATACTGGCAAGAAATTAAATAATCACAAATGAAAGTAAGAGCATACAGATAGGGGTCATTTTAAAAATTATGACAAAGGGAGTGGATTTCATTCACTAAGCAATGAAGATCAAGCAAGTGAAAAGACAACCTAGAGAATAGGAGAAAGTATCTGCAAATCATATATCTACAAGTACAGCTTGTATCCAGAATACATAACGGGCTCTTATTTGCAACAATTAAAAGGGTAAATACCCAAGTAAAAAATGGGCAAAGAATTTGAATAAACATTTCTCCAAAGAGAATATACAAACGGCAAATAAGCATATGAGGCGATGCCCAACACAATTAGGGAATTGCAAAACAGAACAAAGGTACCACTTTCTAGGATGGCTATAAAATGGCTAAAAAAGACTGCAATAACAAGTGTTGGCAAGGATGTAGAAGAACTGGAAACCCCATTTATTTCCGGCAAGAATATACAATATCGCAGACAATTTGGAAAGAGTTAGTTAAACTCAGAAAGTTAAACTCAGCAATTCCACTCCAAGTCACCTAGGCAAGAGAACTGAAAACATGCCCACAAGAATGTGTATATGAATGTTCACTGCAGCATTATTCATAATATCCAAAAAGGGAAACAGCCTGAAGGTCCATCTTCTGATGGATAAACAAAATATGGTCTATCCATACCATGAAAGATCACCCAGCCATAAAGATAATGCTACAACATGGATGGACCCTAAAAACATTACGCTAAGTGAAAGAAGCCAGATAGAAAAGGCCACATATTGAATGATTCCTTTTCTATGAAATGCCTCACATAGGCAAATCCCTAGAGTCAGAAAGTAGATTTGTTGTTGTCAGGGGCTTGAGATGAGGAGGAATGGGGAGTAACGGCTAATGAATATGTGACTTCTTTTTTGGGGTGATGAAAATGTTCTGGAATTAGGTGATTGATGTACGACTTTGTAAATATACTAAAAATCACTAAACTGTATACTTTAAAAGAGTAATATTTATACTCCTCTATCAAGTATTCAAAATATGACTCTATTCCCTGTCAGTCTCTTTACTGATTCTAGAGAAAGATATGCTTATTTTTTAAACTCCATTTTCCTGCTCAAGGCACTCTCTCTCCTTTCTATCTACCCAAAACTAACCAATCCTCAGAGTTATGTCGACATAAGTTCCAAATCCTCAGCCAGTTGTCACCTGGTTTCTGCTCTTCTCACACACTCGACCTCTCCCTATGTTAAACCCTCTTGCGGCACGCTGACACTAAACACATACTAGCTTTATGGACATTTTATAGTTCTATGTATATTTAATTTCTCTGACAAAATGTGATCACAATAAAGACATTGATCTTATAACATTTTCATGGTTTTCAAAGCACCTTTATATACACAATCCCATTTTAATACAAATCATAATCTTTAAATGGTTTATCTCCCTATATGATGAAAAAATTAAATTAAAAGAGATTATGTGATTTGTTTAAAATAATACAGCTGTTAGGTTTTTGGACTCCATATACAGCATTTTTTTTTTTTTTTTCCTCTCACTATATTAAGGGACTTATAATTTGAGAGTAGATCGTGTTCCTTATTTTCTGGATATCCCTCATGTTCCTTATCTGGGCTATGGATAAAATAGGAACTCAGTAAAAAATAATGAATGTATAATATGAACAATGTGAATCAATCAGGACAGAGGTAGATCTGGAAATCTTTTTGTAAAGGCTCTGATTTCCAGTGGGAATGGTAACATTTCTACAACTGATCTTACTTAGAGACAGCCATGAAGAAAGCTGGATTTCACTCCCACTGTATTATTTAATACTCCCTGCTTTAAAAGGCTTGTCTTATAACAGAAGCAATGAGGAGTAAAAGTTCAGCCCCCAAAGCTAAGCGTCGCCCATTATTTCATTGCCATATGCCCAGCTCTGCAATTGCTGAAATGAAGGCATTTTCAACAAAATACCTTTTTCCTGCCTGAAAATAACTTATAAAAAATGTAAGCATTTGTATAAAAGTCTACATTCAAATTATATTGCAGGAGATTAAGTTTTTTATGTAAAATGAACTAAATCAAATCATTGTTTTTTTTAAAATTTCCATATCTAGTACTGCTTATTATTTTAATTACGTATCCCATTATACAAGGACAAAGGGACAACATATATCTTCTTCTATACTAATAAAAGGGCATAGAAGTATGCTAATTATATCAGACATCTTCCAGATGTTCTTCTAGACAAAGCCACAGTGGTGGGGGCTGAGGCGGAGGCAGCTAGGGGTGATCAGGCTGGCATGGGAGGGGAGTTAGGGGGCCATCAGGCCGGCAGGGGGGAGCAGTTAGGGGCATAAGGCTGGCAGGCAGAGGTGGTTACAGGCGATCAGGCAGGCAAGCAGGCAGGCAGGTGAGCACTTAGGAGCCAGTGGTCCCAGACTGTGAGAGGGATGTCCCAGATTGGAGAAGGTGCAGGCCATGCTGAGGGACCACCCATCCCCATGCATGAATTTCATGCACCGGGCCTCTAGTATCTTTATAAATGACAAAGAATTTAATGTGGTTAGAAATATAATCCTATAAATTAGATCTTTAGAGAATTTTATTTATTGGGAATATAATTTCCAAGAATATAGTTAGTTACAGATATTTATTTTTGTTTCAGATGAGTTAAAGAGCAGCATACCTAGCACAGTGCTTTGATTAGAAGACCCTCTAACACCACCATCAGCACTATGGACCCACATATGTGAGTATACAATCTGTCATTTGTATTGATGACATCAATTAAAAACAAAATCACCTAAAATTGGTAAGAATTCTAATAAGAACAATATTGTTTTGACAAAACAAAAACATGAAAGTAAAGACACTGAGCTAATTAGTTATTCATATGGAACTATAGCATAAAGACCAAATCTATTATCTTTTACAATAAAACTCTCAATTCAACAGTGTATTTATTTCACCTTTCTTTGTTTTTTAACTCTTAATCTAACTTTTCAATGAAAAAATAGCAGATAATTATTAAAACGAAGATTATAAATACCTTACCATACACTCCTTTGTCTAAAAGTAGTAAAAATTCATCCACAGCATTGCGCATCTCATATTCAGTCAGATCCAGCAGTGAAACAACTTTGAAATCCAGCTGTCTTAACAAGTTGGTCAATTCGTACACATCCACCAAAGGAGCTTTAAGCTTGGGGTGGTCCCAGTAATTCATATTTCCTATCAAAAGGGCAACCTTGTCCTTTGCTATTAATAAAGGGGGAGAAGGGGATTTAAAGAAGGATATAAAAATTAAAATAAAACCCATTCAAATGACATAATTATAATAAAAAGTATGCTATACAAATAGAAATTCATTATTATTTAATTTCATTGTGGGATGATCACTTTCTGCAGCAGACCAATATACTGAGGACTACAAAGACTAATAAATTAAACTACTGAAATTGAACTTACTGACACTTTTGAGAATCAGGCAAAATATATTTATTAGCTGCATATGAAGTATACTGATAACTAATATAAATGTATACTTTTATTGAAGTAAAGAATCCTATATAATAAAGATGTAACATGCAAATGGTCGTTACGCTGTGAAATGTAAAGACTGACTGCATAATGACCGAATCATGGATCAGCAGGGGGGTGGGGCAGTGAGCTACAAGTGGGCGGCAGAGAGTTACAGGAGGGGGCAGGGCAGCAAGCTATGAGGGGAGGCGGGGGGCGGAGGGAGCTACAGGAGGGCAGCAGTGAGCTACTGGTGCATGGATTCGTGTGCAGGGCTACTGCATTATTATAATTCAACTAAGCTTTTAGAGCAAATTGTAACAAGGTATGTTTGAAATTGGGTTCCCATCAAATTAGGTCTATTTTGCTGCCAATGGAAGATGCTAAGCTAAAGACAAAAACAAAACAAAACAAAACAAAAAAAAAACACACACTACCACCAAAAAGAGGAACAGGAAGAATTTGAATCAGAGCAAGTAAGGGGAAATACCAAAGAGGACCGAAAAGCAGCAGCTTAACAAGTAACATACTGTCTTCTCTTGGTCTTAAAAAATATTTTTTTTCTATTTGGGTGAGATGCAGTTACTTTAGGGATATGCGAACACTTTTGTAAGAATATGCTTTTAAAATATATATATATATATATATATATATAATTTTTTTAAAAATATATTTTATTGAATTTTTACAGAGAGGAAGAGAGAGCGATAGAGAGTTAGAAACATCGATGAGAGAGAGTCATCGATCAGCTGCCTCTTGCACATCCCTACTGGGGATATGCCCGCAACCAAGGTACATGCCCTTGACCAGAATTGAACCCGGGACCCTTCAGTCCCCAAGCCAACGCTCTATCCATTGAGCCAAACCAATTTCAGCGAGAGAAGATTCTTTCCCGTCGAAATATGAATGGTTTTCAAATGTGCAAGCTTTGGATCAGCAGGATTTTTCCAGAATGCATTTTTCTGAGCATTTGTGCAAGTTTCAGAGCGACAATTAGAGCCGCCAGTGGCCAGGACATGCCATTGGGAGGGAGGACTAGGCTTGGAGGCTGAAGGGCACCCACACCAGGTCCCTGAAGGCCAGCATGAAGCTGAAGCCCTCAATAATGTCCGTGGTGGTCAGAACTGCTTCCTCATTCCAGAGCGCATGCACCACGTATTCACCAAAATCATCGCCAAGGAGGGAGCAGCACGATTCTGTAACTTCATCTCAGCCAAAAGCATCCCCAAGTTAATCATCAGCCATCCGATCTGTCCAGGGCGCAGTTCACAAAAGTATTTGAGATCAAAAGTCCCCATCTGAGGGTTTAATTTGCAACAAATGAAGAAATCGTAGATGGTGTTTCCAGGGCCCGCATGTAGAGATAAACACTTAAGCTGGCAGCAAACACGAGGACTGTCAGGGCGAACTAAAGGAAATGGTGGTACACGTGGCAGAGCTTCACGCCCCAGAAGAGAGAGGCTCCCACGGCTGCCGACGTCAGGATGAAAGCATAGAACCCATTTAGACTTCCATCAGCCAGAGGTGCTCCTTCTACCACCTTCTCGATCGGCAGTGAGAACTGAGCCTGAACAGAAAACCAGAGGAGGTAGGCCCTAAACATTCTGGTTTCCCACAGATCAGACAAAGCTGGCAAAGGAGGTGGGAAATTAAGAAGGCTGGGCTCTCTGCCTACACATCAATAGCATCAGGAAGAGGAAGGCAGGTAGGCCAAGCATGGTAGGAAACACACCAGGGACTCCTCCAAACTCTAAGTCCTTCGTCAGTGTGGCTGTCACGTCAAAGGTTCTCAATGATGTAAGTCCTTTCGTAACAATTTTTTCTTCCTTTAAGTCTATTTTTTAAAAAAAATTTGCTCTCTTCTCTTCTTGGACGAAGGCTATGATGTGATGTATAACTACTTTCTTGTGACAAAGGGAATTGTTCCTGCGCGGTCCTGTGCGGCATGTCATTCCTCGTTCGGTGCTCAGGCTCCCGGTTGTGCCGGTTGATGCTATTTCCAAACGGCTTCTGTACCAATGGAGTCAACTTCACTTCCAGCACTTCCTTCCACATTTCCTTTATGCCCACATGGTGTGAAGCAGAGGCCGATCAGCGAGAACTTTTAGCTGGTGGGCCGGGGGATCAGGAGCTCGACCTTGACCGACTCCCTCGTCCTCTGGAGAGAGAACTGGAAGTGGAGCTTTTCCTTTGCCTAAAGAAAGCTAAATGCTTGATGTCACTCTTCTTCAACTCCAGTTCCATTCCATCTTTGTATTTTACCGTGTAAAGCTGGGACTTGCAGAATTTCCACTTCATAATAAAGTGAACTCCCAGGCCACCAGCCTCTTACCACTTCACCGTGGGCAAATTTCCTACTTGGCATTTTTAAAAATCAGTCTGCGCCGAAGTCCCGCGGGGACATGCACAACTCCGCAAGAGCTGCCAAGCTGTATTTCCTTTTTAAAAAGTTTCTTCTTGAATAAACCAGACCAAGATAATCACTATATGGTAAGACCATTAGCCGCTAATGCACAGAAAGAACATTTTCAGTGCATTTGTTGGTGAGTCCACCAGCCCTGTCAGAACTCTGACCCAAGTTCAATGCACAATCTACTTCTAAGGGAGAAGGGATATATTGTGTCTGGCTTACACCATCATGGCCCAAACCATGAGGTTCCTAAAGATATTCAGGTATAAAGTATTTGTAAATCATAGTTGTTTTTGTGTGTGGAATATTATGATAATTTAATTCTAAGCTGTATCCTAAAATAGGTTTTATTGGCAGAAAACAATTAGAAGGTATGTAAAAGAAAAAACAACAACACTGAAGTCTTTGGGGGGGAAAACAGTTGTCAAACTATGCATGATAAGCTGTTTCTGCTAATATCATCAACTCTTGTTTCATTGGTTTTGCTACTTGATTTCAAAAAACACTTGGTATAGTTTACTAAGTGGAAGAGTTCAATAGTCTGAGAACTATGTGCATTAAAATGCATGTATTCATAATTGACCATAACACTTCAAAATATGTTTCCTAATGATATACTTTTTTGAATTATTCCTTTTATTTATTTTTAATAGTTTTTTTTAAAAATTTCTTTAATGATTAAGGTATTACATATGTGTCCTTATCCCTCCATTACTCCCCCTCTCCATCTCCCCCACTCATACCCTCACCCCCCTGTTGTCTGTGTCCATTGGTAAGGCTACATGCATGCATACAAGTCCTTTGGTCGATCTCTCTCCCTTACCCCCACCCTCCCCTACCTAATGATAATTTTTAATAGTTAGCTTCTACAATGTCTTCGAGCATTTTCTTGAAATAAATGGTAATAAAAATGATGAGTAAATAAATCTTACCTTGTCCAATCTACTTGTAAAGCAGTTCCTGAATGACAGGCGAACTGGAGAAGGTTTAGAATAGAGAAGCAGATGGCAGTGGTCGAAATGAGAGATGACAAACACATTTCAGTAAATTAGTTGTAGGAAGGAAAGGAAAAGCCAGAGTTTAGAAATATGATAAAGGATGAAACAGTAAAATTTGAAGTTGAGAAGATAAGACTGAGGAATGAAAGAAAACTTCAAAATAACAACTATATAAGCAATTTATGATGTTTTTCAGGTGATAATATAAATGGAAGAAACTTTCTATAGAAAAACATTTACTGTAAAAGCCACCCACAATTTCTTGAACACAAACCACTTATTGGAAAAAGGAAACACAAATGCAAGTTGATTAAGCAATAGAATAAAACCACTTCAGAAAAAGTATTTAACTACATGATCCTAGACATTTTCCAAAGCTCAATGCAATGTGTTCTTTACAAACCAGTACAGTGTTATACCATTAATTCTATGTCTAATAATCTACTGGTGTGTTACTCATTTTATCTAAAATGGATTAATATTCATAAGTGCCTGAAAAAAGGTCTGGCACATATTTAGTGCTATGTAAATATTTAAGTGCTATGTAAATATTAAACATTTTTAGTGCTATGTAAATATTAAACATTTATCAAAAATTGAGTATTAGCATCAAGTCTGACTGGTTGAATGTACAGTCCTTGTTGGTCTCATGAGTATAATCTTTTATTCTCTGTGTCCTATAAAATATAGTAAAAAATCCTTATCTGGCAAACAAACCTTCATATTCTAGTTCATGCTTCCCTTTCCAGCTTCGGTGAAAGACGGCCCCCAGTGAAACACAGTATCCTTGCTCTCACATAGCGTAGTCACTCTCACTGCCTCTAACCTCAAATCTGGGCTGCCCTGTGATTCTCTTTGAACAACCTAATGTGGTATGGCACTCGCCAGTACTGAGTCTCAATCTGGAGAAGTCTGGCAGCTTTCATTTTGGGGATCCAAGCAAAGAAATCAGCGAGCAGGAAACTCACATGGGGCAGGAGGACAGGCAGAGAGTGAAGTAGACCGAAAGCTCACGCAGTAAAACGGGAGCACATGCCTCTTGATAAGAGCAGCCACTGTTTAGACACAACTGACAGCTGCCACTTTTCATAAGAACCTAGAAACCTGAGTTTTTATATAATATCTGACATATGGCAACTGATTATGATTGTTAAAAACACTGCATACCCCTCCCAAAAGGTCAGCCCGTTTTGTGCTCCTTTCTTTTCTTTTTAAATATATTTTATTGATTTTTTTACAGAGAGGAAGGGAGAGGAATAGAGAGTTAGAAACATGGATGAGAGAGAAACATTGATCAGCTGCCTCCTGCACACCTCCTACTGGGGATATGCCTGTAACCAAGGTACATGCCTTGACTGGAATCGAACCTTCAGTCAACAGGCCGATGCTCCATCCACTCAGCCAAACCGGCTTTGGCTGTGCTCTTTCAAACTCTCATGTTTGTTGCCACTTGGTTTTAACTTCCGTATCTATGCTAATGACACTCATAACTATATCTCTAAGCCTGGCCTCTCCAGAGAGTTCCAGATCTATGTACACAATTGCCTGCTGTATATTGTCACCTCAATGTGACACAAATACCTCAGACTGGTTAGGTCCCAAACTGATAGTCATCTGTCCTCTGAAGCTTGCTTTTGAATCTGTATTCTTCACTCAATGGACAGTGTCACTACCTACCTACAGTCCAAGCAAGGATTCTAGCAGGTATAGTGATTCTTCTCTATAGCAAGATGACAAAAAAGCTTACTGATTCCACCACCTAAAGACCTCCTGAATTTGTTCTTATCTTCTGCATTCTCACTGGTAAGCCTAGTTTAGATTCTCATTTCTTCTCTAGACTATTACAACAGTGTCTTAATTGTTCTCCTAAGCAAAACATCTCTAACTACTTTACTTTCTACATCAATATAAGACTAGCTTTGGGAGAGATACATCTCATTCACTCCTCCTCTAAAAAGTTCCTTCCAATGGCATAAATGAGAAATGCGGCTCTTGAAGATCTAATCTCACCCTTCTCTCGCTTCCTTCTTTGTATGTTCCAGAGCAAGGTGTGTTACTTGCAGTTCCCAAATTCAACAGTCTCATTTCTTAGCACTTAGGATTTCAGGCTCCCTCTGTTTGGAAGGCCCTTCTCCTACTTATACTTCAAAATGCAGAATAGTTACTGCAACCTCTCTGCTGCTTTGCTAATCTAACTCCACCAAAAGATAGTATTACTCACCTCCATGTAACATACATGTCTGTTTGAATGTTGCCAAAACAAAGAAATTATTCTACAGAAATTGACGTGGTACCAGAATTTGAATTCAAAATCATTTTAAGGCTCCTATTCTATAATTTATTTTACAAATATCCAAAATAAACCATTTGGTCTCAATGTCATTCAAGTACATATAAAAGCTGTCAAATTGAAATGTCTTAAATTCCTTTATGCTTACCATAAAAGAGATATATGTATAATGATATTATGAGCAGGTTTTTTAAAGCTTTACTCACCCAAAGGCTGGTCAGCTGTTTGCTCTTTATTATCTATATGAAAATAAAAATGAAAAGAAATAAGGTATTATTATCCATGATATAATTATCTCCAGGGTTAGAGATATATAAAAACAGTGAATACCATCAGTGGCATTAAAAGACAGAATATGGCCGAAACTGGTTTGGCTCAGTGGTAGAGCGTCAGTCTGTGGACTGAAAGGTCCCAGGTTTGATTCCGGTCAAGATGAACCCAAAGAGGCCCACACTAAGACACATCATAATTAAAATGCCACAGGTTAAAGACAAAGAAAGAATCTTCTTTTTTAAAAATATATTTTTATTGATTTCAGAGAGAGAGGGAGAGATAGAAACATCAATGATGAGAGAGAAGCATTGATTGGCTGCCTTCTGCATGCCCCCTACTGAGGACTGAGCCTGCAACCCAAGCATGTACCCTTGCCTGGAATTGAACCTGGGACCCTTCAATCTGCAGGCTGATGCTTTAACCACTGAGTCAAACCAGCCAGGGCAAAGAGAGAATCTTAAAAGCAGCAAGAGAAAAGCAGTTAGTCACCTACAAAGGACCTTCCATAAGACTGTTAGCTGATTTCTTAACAGAAATTTTGCAGGTCTGAAGGTAGTGGCAAGAAACCTCCATTTTCGGCCCTAACCAGTGGATAGAGTGTCGGCCTGCCGACTGAAGGGTCCCAGGTTCGATTCCAGTCAAAGGCATGTACCTTGGTTGCAGGCACATCCCCAGTAGGAGCTGTGCAGGAGGCAGCTGATCGATGTCTTTCAAATGAAATATTACTCACTTCTCCCATTAACTGTCTTTTTATGATATAGACTACTTCACAATGATAAAAATTGCATTCATATTTTGTGTTCCCTCAGTATACTTTTCTATCCTTATATAGTCTTACAATCTAGAATATTTTAAATCTTTTCACTTACATGAAATTGTACTTCATACAAGTACTAATTTCAACCCTAAATCATTTTATTTTAATAAAGAAAAAGTTACCAGTATTACTATAGTGAAAAAATATCTATAGTATCTTTAAATTATTATATTCAATAACTTAAAAATATAAAACTAATGCTTTATGCTTATATTACTCACCAGGATGCCCAAGATGATGTAATTCATCTGAAAGAAAATAAAAAAAAAATAGATTAGCTTTAAATATTTAAATGCCAATTTAGCACAAATAGTAAGGCTAATTAAAGAAAGTTTTGAGTTATTAAATCATATTAAAATGTTTCAATAGTTTAAAACTTCTCAAATACATTATCTGAAGCCATGCAAAACTGAAAAGGAAATATGATGTTGTGGATATCATTTAAGACTTCTAAGCCATTATTACTTTCATTGTGATAAAAGGCTAAATAGATTCATTCACAATTTGTTCAAAGTTTTAGGTATTCTGGCCAATTATGGAACAAAAGCAGGCGAGATAGGTCTGTTTGTGGTCTCAATCATAAAGTTCTTGAAACTAGTTAATCTCAAATGATCTTTTCTTTTTAAATAAACTTTTAATTTTATAACAGTTTAGGATTTATAAAACTAACATGAAGAGAATATAGAATTCATGTAAACACCCATACAACAGGTCCCTATTTTTAACATTTCATGTTAGGAGGGCATATTTGTCATAACTGTTAACGTGCTTTTTTGTTCCAAGACCCATTCAGGACATCACATTACATTTGTTTAAGTCGAATAGGCTCCTCTTTCTTGTGACAGTTCCTCAAACTTCCCTTGCTTTTGATGACCTTGACATTTTTTAGAATTACTGGTGAGATATTATGTGGTATGTCTCTCAGGTAAGATTTGTTGATGTTCTTCTCATGGTTAAGACTGGTGTAATGAGTTTTGGAGGCACAGTGGTTTTAGAATTGTTAACCTGCACTCCCTGGCTTAACAGTGTTTCCCAAAGTGTGGTACGCATACCCACAGGGGTATGGGAAGAGTTTGGTGGGGGTACGCATTGCACCAGTTTGGTGGGGATATGCACTGCACCGTGCTTAGCTGCGCCTAATTCTATGTTCTCATGAGTACAAGGGGTACTCAGAGTTACGAAAATTATAGAAGGGATACACATATGTCAAAAGTTTGGGAAACTCCGAATATCATGACATTATAGCCATCTATGTTATACTATTCATGAGATGGTAGGTAGAACTTATTCTTATTTGTGGTATAAAATCATTTAGTGAGTAGCATCAGCTAGAGTATATGGCTATGTACAATTTCTTTTCCCTTTTATCTTATAGACGTTTCTCATTTCTGATTACTTTAAGCCAGTAACTTTTCCTTCCTTCCCCTCTTCAATGAGGTCACTTTACACATTTGTAGTAAATTTGGATTCTTTTGTCATATTCTGCATTCCTTAATGGGATCTACTCTTCTCTGACCTCCTACTAAATGATTTTTAAAAAAACTTGCATACATCCTGTCCAGGTGTGGTTACAGGCTTGGTACCATGTGGGGCATGCAGGAAGCAGCCGATCAATGATTCTCTTCACCATTGATGTTTCTATCTCTCTATCCATTTCCCTTCCTCTCTGAAATCAATAAAAATATATTTAAAAACAAAAAACTTGCATACATGTATTTACCATTATAGTGGTCATACAGAATAGTTTCACTGCCCTAACAAATCCCCTGAGCTTCACCTGTTCAATTCCCAGCCCTTGTCCTCATCAAATACCTTTAACAAAATACCTAAAATGAAATAGGTAACATCATGTTCCATGGGTAGAAAAGATATGATATTAGGACAATTTCATGACATGAGTCAACCTACCAATTATAAAAGGTCTCAATTTTGTATATCTTTTAGAAAGAAAAGTTGGGTCTGATTTTTCCATATGAAATTTCTGGAGTAGTTTCATGGTTGGATTTTCATTTCTAAGTGTTCTGAACAAATTTATTTGAAAATTATTATTTAACAATGTGTTTGTTACTACAAAAATTATAGGGAGAATATTGCAGATAAAGAAGCATTACAACAGGTGATAATTTACAAACATCCCCCTGAAGCCAAACAGAACAGTAATGCTAGTTTTATTTATCTACTCTTAGAAGTCTCCAATGTTAGGAAGTTTTTAAAATAATGCAATTAGGCAAAAAAGGGGGAAGAAAAGAAAGAGGAGTTGGTTAGGATTTCTTCATGTAGCTTCCCTCAAAAAGGTTCAAAGACCACAAGGTTGAAAATGTCTTATGCTAGAGAAATCACAATCACAATTATGTATTAGCAAGAAAATAGTATTTCAGAGTGATGCCCATATTGATATAAAGAACAAGAAAACGAGGAAACTAAGATTTAACATGATTTTCTTACTTTTCCCAAGTAGAGCCTAAGGTTATAGTTCAAAGAGGCAGAAATTGAAAAAATACTTTGCTATCCACAAACCTAATTTTGTAAAACAATGTGATATCATACTAAGGGAACTTAAGTTTAAAATTTATTTATTACAACTTATGTACGATGCTTTGGCTAATTAGATCAAATTAGAAACTTACGTTGAAAGAGATTTTCAATTCTCTTTATATATTGTGGTAAAGGTGACATGGTAGATGGCCTTGTAGCTTCAAAAAATGGGTCATATCAATTTTATATTGAGATAAATAGAATATTTAGTATTTGATAAAACATGGGTTAAACAATAATCTGTCTTGAAACTTTTAGAGAAACCACATTCAAATTTGAGAGGCATATTATCATAGATAAGAAATCTGAACAAGTCTCCATGATAATATAGTAATCTATATTTTTCCCCACAATCTTTATAAAGGTAAAAATGAGCATTAAGAATTAATTGCAAATTTTTAATATTTATAAAATGTTACGAAGGAAGTTTATTTTTATGTAGAATAGAAAATCAACTGAATAATAGTGTGTCAGTTTATTTTAATAGTGTGTCAGTTTATCAGTATCTGTGGCACTTTACAAACCCTCAAAGACTAAGATATTACAACATCCTTCGAGTGAAATTATTTCTTATAGCTAGTATTTTTTCCATCACTGCACTCAATAGGCTAGGGCATGCCACCAATCCCAAGAGGAGTCAGCATGCAGGATATTTGGTTTTAATCCAAAGATTACACTACCTTCAGTGCACTCCACTGCCTCATCTGTTCTTCCTTGTTCCAGAGAAAACAAATGTGAATATATTGTAATTCATGATCTTAGGAAGGGCAGTCATCAAGCAAACAGAGAGATAAGTAAGACAGAAATATGTTGGCAAACCAACATATGCATCAACACCTCTATTAACAACACAACTATAAATGCATTAAGCTAAAATAAAACAGACTCTCAAATTATGTACTTCATAACGGATTGTTGATTGATCATCATTCTTTTCTTCACATGTCTGTGATGTTTGTTTTTTAAAAATGTTTTCTTAAAAATCTTTTACCATGAAATCAAGTTCTTTATAATTAAAGTTTTAATACATTTTTTTTTGCCATAAATGTTTAAAATAAACTATAAAATTCAAAAATAACCAAAAAGGTCTAAATAAAAAACCAATTTTCCTACTACTTTCTGGTCATCCTATATAATAAAGTACTAAAATACTAATTAGACCAAATAGCAGAACGACCATCCAGATGACTTTCTGGATGAAGCTGGACCTGCGAGGGCTGGATGAGGCTGGGAAGGGCTTGCAAGGATTGGCCGAGGCAGCTGAGGCTGCAAGGGCCAAGCCCCTTGCACGAATTTCGTGCATCAGGCCTCTAGTAGTATATAAAGCTAGATTATGAATTTAGTATGTATTCTCTCAAATATGTATATGGACAATGTTAACTCCTGACACTTATCACACCATTAAGTAGAAGAGGGTAATTAGTAGAATTTCAGTTGCTTAAATGTTTTATTTTATATAGTTTCGATTATACTCCATTTGTCAGAACACTGAGTAATACTGCTTACCTATGATGATTTCTACCTTCTTGCTATCTTGACTGTCTCGATCATTATGTACACGGCACCAATAGGTTCCTTGATGTTCCAACTCCACATAAGGAACCTATATCAATATTAGAACACACATATTTCCTCCTCAATTTTCATTTAAATTGGCTTGGAGAAAAAATTATTTTGTATTTTAAAAACCCCTACCATGCCAGAAGCCAATTCCAGCATGTCATAATTGCACTAGTTTCATCAAAAGGTTGATGGAACTTGGAGACTCCACAGGGGCTGAATCACATATGTTATTGCCATTTGGAAATGGCTAAAGGCATTTCCCCAAATTTGAAAAGGATGATTGTTTGCTGCCAGACAGCTTAAGGCTTCTTAACCTACGTTATTGCCTCCTGTTGGCCAAACATCTGAACAGCCAAAGGCAATTCCCCAATCTGACAATGCATCTGTACAAAACCCTACCCTTTGAAGTGTATATCTCCACTTTACCTTAGGACAATTTGTGTTAATAAAAAGCAAGGGGTCCCATGCCAGACCGGTTTGGTTCAGTGGATATAGCATCAGCTTGCGGACTGAAAGGTCCTGGGTTCGATTCCGGTTGGGGGCATGTGCCTTGGTTTTGGGCACAACCCCAGTAGGGGGTGTGCAAGAGGCAGCTGATCGATGATTCTCTCTCATTGATGTTTTTAACTCTCTATCCCTCTCTCTGCCTCTCTGTGAAAAATCAATAAAATTAAAAAAAAAAAAAAAAAAAAAAAAAAAGCAAGGGGTCCTGAGACAAGGAGAATTTAGTTTCTTTAGCTAGGCTCCTCTGACCTCCAATGACTTTCAAAATTATCTTTCGCCTCTGGACTCTTACTTAAGTTACACACAGCCATTCTCCAGATTGCTGAACCCTTCTTAGTGCCGGGACAAGAACCCTGGCACTACCAAATAAAATTTCAGAATGATTTAGATAGCTTGAATTATTGCCATTCATTAGGTTAAATTTTAATTTTAACAAATGATACAATAAATCCAATAATGATGAATTTGTTGTAATACTACACTTGACATTTTAGTATAAGCCCTTAAATGTGGGCTGGTGTTGTCTTCTGGTACTTTTGCAAATATACAAGTCAATTAATATTAAATAACAAGGACTTGAAACAAAAATACTGAAAACATAAAAACACCCCCGACAAAGATGAATTTTAACGTTCACCTTAATTTTCAATTATACTGTTTATTTTACTTATTAGCACAAAAAATTCCCCCAAACCAACTTCATACCATATATATCTTTTTTGTCTCATGCACTAAGGGTGATTCATTTTTGAACCACTGGTAGTGAGGAATTGGGCTTCCAATAGCAACGCACTGCAGGACCAACGTGTTGCCTGGCATCAGCTTTTGGGACTTTGGTTCAACACAGATTTGCAACTTGGATTCAGAGATGCCATTCGAGCTTCCTTAAATTAAAAGAAAAACATCATTAAACATAAAGTATCTAAGTTAAAAATAAAATTACCCCCTATAATTTATAAAAGTAAATGAGTCTTCAAGTTCATCCTTTATTTTTTACAATCTTTAATGGCAATATTTCATAAAACGATAGCATTTTTAAAAATATTAAGAAATGTCTGGATAGAAGAATGTGGTGGGCAAAAACATTCAGAAAATTCGGAGTTAAACAGATTTTTTTAATTGCAGAACTTGCCCAAGCTTTCAAAGTGTTATGCATTGTGCATGTAAGAGGGGAAAAGAGCTCATGTGTGTTTGGCCAAAGAATTTCTCTGGAGGGGGCAAACAATTTATTGATATCTTGAGTGACATTCACATTCAACAAAGAAAGATCTACATTCTGCACTTGATTTAACTGATTAAAAAAAAGGAGTTTTGTTATTGGCACTAAATACATATGGATGGATTATCACTAGCATTTCCTCCCAAGGCAGATATCAGAAAACATTATTTATTGAACACTCATTGTTACTCTTTAAATTCGTTGAGGACAGAGGGCTTGTCAATGTTATGCAATATCAGGTCTCCATCATGATACCCAGGGTCTCACAAATTGCAGGTGATCAATAATATTTATTGAATGAATAAGATTCTACTTATAACCATAGTAAATTTTATTACCTGCACAGCAATATTCTACAAAGGTAAATAACTCTCTTAATTAATCATGACTATTTTTAGAGATGGTTTATTTATTTAGGTGTAGGAAAAGCTAAATTGAGAGGGAAGAATGACTCAGACTAGTTCCAAAAAGCCTGTTTCCCTCTTATTCTTTTCTTTTGGCAAAAATGACAAAGGATATGGCCTTGACTATGTGTGTGAATAAATAAAATAGTCTCTCATGGTTACTCTTTAGACTAGACTGGCTTTTTCCTTGATCAATGCCAGTTACTGGACTAAAAAGATGAATGACAAAGAGTAGAAAAATAGTTAGATGAAATATCTTATTGCAGCAAATGATTTATACTATATGTCCTTTTATGTCAACATCCACTCTAGTTTTATTTTACAACACAATTTTTTAGGAGTAATATAGTTATTTGAGAGAAAAATGTACAGTGTAAGAAGAAATTGTAAAGTGAGCAACTGTGCCTGGCTGATGTTGCTCAGTGGCTGAGTGATGACTTATGAAGTAGGAGGCCATGGTTTGAATCCCGGTCAGGACACAGGCCCAGGTTGTGGGCTCGATCCCCAGTAGGCGTGCAGGAGGCAGCTGATCAATGATTTTCTCTCATCATTGATGTTTCTATCTCTCTCCCTCTCCCTTTGAAATCAATAAAAAAAATATGTATTTTAAAAGTGAGCAAGACTGTATTAGATTTTTACCTCCTCTAAAACCAGAGACATTCAAATCCAAGTTGGAAGAGGTCATTAGCAGGGTCAGACTGAGAAGAGTACTATTATCCGAAGGCGTGTGTGTGTGTGTGTGTGTGTGTGTGTGTGTGTGTGTGTGTCTATTCGTAGAGAAGAGAATCTAAGTACACGGGATAAAATCTTAACAGCTGTTGACCTTATACTGGGTGCAATACATATGTGAGCTTTTTGTAATATTTTTTCTTTTTCATTTTTAAAACTTATCTTTATTGCTGAAAGTATTATACAATAGATGTGTCCCCCCCATTGATTCTTTTTTTAAAATATATTTATTGATTTTTTACAGAGAGGAAGAAAGAGGGATAGAGAGTTAGAAACATTGATGAGAGAGAATCATCAATCAGCTGCCTCCCGCACACCCCCCTCTGGGGATGTGCCAGCAACCAAGGTACATGCCCCTGACCGGAACCGAACCCGGGACCTTTCAGTCCGCAGTCTGATGCTCTATCCATTGAGCCAAACCGGTTTTGGCGATTGTTTCTTTTTTTAATTTTTTCTTTATTGATTAAGGTATTACATATGTGTAATAATGTTATCACCCCACTTCCCCCCACCCCCCAACTCATGCCCTCACCTCCCTGGTGTCTGTGACCATTGGTTAGGCTTATACGCATGAACATAAGTCCTTTGGTTAATCTCTCCCTTACCCCCGTCAGGTTTGACGGTCTGATCGATGCTTCTCTGTCTCTGTATGTTTTTGTTCATCAGTTTATGTTTTTCATTATATTCCACAAATGAGTGAGATCATGTGATATTTTTTGATATTTGAAATTATTTAAAAGCAAACATTTATAATAAATGAAAATAAGGTAATTCCCTTCTCAATATTCAAATTACTTACCCTGGAAGCTTTCTGTTAGTTCTGTGACATCACACACATCCAGCTGTGACCACTGGCTGAATTCAAAGGTGCAGTTATTATTCACTCGACAGACATAAAAGCCTGCATCTTTCACATGTACTGTGTTAAAAACAAGTTCTGATGCATTTCCGTTTGGAATCTATGAAATAATCAGTAGGAGAACATCAGTGAATGAATGACTCAGCAACACATCTTATAAAACATGCTGTGCAAAATGGATGATGTCTTTGGAGTTTTGAAAAGCGTATCTTTTTTCCAAGATCTAAACTATTTGTTACTTAAAAAACAAATAACATTTTGAGTAGTTTAGGACTGAAGTCTTACTGTCTTCTACAAATCCATTAACTAAAGAGCTCTTTTCCATATATCTTCCCCAAACTCACTAATAGAAAAGTATTGTTCTGCCATCTAAAACTGTCCACTTGTTGGTATTTAAAGAATCCTTAATGTCAACATTTATTAGTAAAGTAGCCATATGACATGACAAGCACCATGATGAAGTGGCGATCACACAGAAAGTTAGGCCTGGCTACTAATTTCTGTTTCGACCAAATTAGTTGCTAGTACATGAGCCAGTTATTTCCCCTCAAGACCCATGTTTTCATCTGTGAGATCCTGTGAGAGGATACACTTCAACCAATACAGTACATTTTTTTCAAGGTCGGGTGAAGCAGGGCTATGGAAAGCATATCAGTGATGGGGAGAAATGGCCATCCAAGGATTTCCCAAGCTTCAGTCCCCACATTAAGGTTTATTTCACCTTTGTTGCCCCCATCAGTTTATCAGCATCACCCAACTCTGCACATTGCCGAGGATTTGAGTCAAGTGCCAGGTTTTATTGTATCCGCTCCCCTGCAAAGTACTTAAGCAAGCTCGGCCTTCTCTCTTCAAACCTCTATCAACTGAATTCAACTCTCTCCCCTCTCAGGATCTGCACCAGTGCATGAGCACTTTGCTGAAGATCTGACAACTGGGGTGCACTAAGCATGGCCTGACGATTTCCCGCGGTAAATGCCAGGTTAAGAGGTTTGCTTTCCTATCAGACCATTCATGTACACTTTCTCTCTCCTCAAACCTACTGCAACCTGACTTTCTCTCAGCCTTTGACTTCAGATAGAAACTCTTTCCTCTTTCTGCCACCAAACTGCACACCTTTTTACAAGTTTTACGGCCATGAAGAAGATGGAAAGACCACTTGCACCTGCATGAATAACCAATGTTACAAACTTCCTTGTCTCCCACTTATACTTCTATAAATCCCTTTGCATTACCTTAAGAAACCCACTTGTACTTTCCAGAAAGGCCTTTTCTTCCTCCTCCCTTTTCCATACTAAGTCAGGTATATAAGCCTCTAAATCTAACCATTCATGGAGTTACTTCTTTTGTAAGTTCCCATATGAATATGGGAATAAATGTTTTCTTTTTTTCATCTGGATTTTGCCAGTTAATTCACAGGCCTCCAGGGAGTGAACATAAGAGGTTGCAGGAAAAGAAATTTTCTCTCTGACAGTCCCAGCCTCTCTGACCTTGCTTCTGTAATTTTCTCAATGTTTGACCATCTATTTCTCTTTTTTACTGTCTCACTCTCAAAAACATACTCTAGTTTCTTGTGTCTTACATAAACAACACAAAACCAAATAGGCCTCTCCCGTGGCCTACACCCCCTCTTAGCAGCACGGAGAATGCTGACCATTCCCTCTTGGTTCTGTACCATCCTCTCCTGGTCGTCTTCTCTCTCTTGCAAATTCTTCTTTAGTCTCCTTACTGGCTCCTCCTCCACTACAGACACTTCAATGTCATCTCCCCAGATGTCCAAACTGACTAGCTGATTCATTTCAAACTTAACAGGTCTTGATTCTTGATTGTTCTCCTTAAATCATTCCTGTCCTAATCTTCAACACCTCAGTACACAACATGTCCCCAGACGTTTAACTAAAAAAATCCAGGTGTCATCCTTGATCTCCTTTCACTTTTTTGCCAATCCATGGGGCTTGGCAATCTCTAAAATTGAATCCATCTCTGAGGCCACACCCTGGTCCATACTACCTCTATTCCAATCTGGCACATAGGTTAGATGACTGGCCTTCTTGCTTCCTTCAGGCAGTAAGTCTGTGTTTTAAAAACATAAATTCTATCATGTTATTCTTTCTGCTTAACACCTGTAGTGGCTTCTCACTTTCTATCACCCTGTTTATTGTCCTCATAGCTCTTAGCTGAGGAATTTATTCCTTGTGCACTGTCTGCCTCTCCCTGCTGAGGGTGGCAGTGCCCTGGGTGTCAGTGTTCCATCATCAGGCCTCGGAGCATGGTCTGGCACAGGAACATGCTCATCAAATACTTGTAAACAAACAGCTCCTAAAACAGACTGCAAATGTCAGAACTGTCTGACAAATTCGGCTCACCAGAGCTTTCAAGTCTGTTACCAGTCTCCAAATCTAAGACGTGCCACCCTCAGCCCTCTACTTCTGTCTTTCTCAAATCAGGACATAACTTACAAAGGATATATGTAATATAGTACTATTACCCATTATTTCTCCCGCAAAAGGCATTTAGGAAAAAGAAACTTTGGGACAGAGACAATATGGTAAAATAGTTACCATCTCTTGAAAACCTAGGCACATAGAACGTCCTGTCTATTAAATTCGCACAAGCCCAATGATGAGCATTCACATAGCTGGTAATGACAGCCAAGGTCCAATGTAGGCCTGCCTAGCACTAGGGCCTACATGCAGTCTTTTTACTATGGTTCACAGCTACTCTACCTTACCTGCGTGTGAGGTCTAGAAAGAAAAAACTGTACAAAACCACACGTTGTTCCCAGAGTGACCCCCTAAAGGAAAGATCACAATCTTAGAACGAATCTTTAACTTAGTTTCAAGTTTGCAAATGTAGACCAACACAGGTCAGCCAGACTAGTGAGAACTCCCCAGTGGCACCGTGGCACAAAGAACTTTTAAGAAAAGAGAATTCCAATATGTGAATTTATTTATTTATTTATTTGTTATTTAAAATTTTTTAAAAATTTGATTTCAGAGAGAAAGGAAGAGGGAGAGAGATAGAAACATCAATAATGAGAGAGAATCATCGATCAGCGGCCTCTTGCACAACCCCTACTGGGGATAGAGTCCATTATCTGGGCATGTGCCCTTGACCAGAATCAAACCCAAAACCTTTCAGTCCACAGGTCAATGCTCTATCCTTTGAGCAAAACCAGCGAGGGCTATTTATTTATTTATTATTATTTAAAAATATATATATTTTATTGATTTTTTACAGAGAGGAATGGAAAGAGATAGAGAGTTAGAAACATGGATGAGAGAGAAACATCGATCAGCTGCCTCCTGCACACCCCCTACTGGGGATGTGCCTGCAACCACGGTACATGCCCTTGACCAGAATCAAACCCAGGACCCTTCAGTCTGCAGGCTGACACTCTATCCACTGAGCCAAACCGGTTTTGGCGTATTTTTTAAAAACCTATTTTTATTGATTTCAGAGAAGAAGGGAGAGGGAAAGAGAGAGATAGAAACACCAATGATGAGAGAGAATCATTGATAGGCTACCTCCCACATGCCCCACACTGGGGATCAAGCCCGAAAGGTGGGCATATGCCCTGACCAAGAATTGAACATGTGCCCCAACCAAGAAATGGTCAATGCTCAACCACTGAGCCATGATGGCCGGGCTCAATATGTGATTTTAAATTATTTGTTGGGTGGAGCAGGGATACAATGCTTCCACAGGAGGAAAACATGTCCCCTTCCAGACACTGGAGTTCTATTTCAGAATCTCACAATAGCCTACATCTTTTGACATAATATAATTGTGTGGAATACTTAATATTGCATCAACCTTCCCTGCCAGCTTGGAAGTCTTTAAAGAATTTCTATAGCTATGTTAGAATACTCTGGTGATGTTTCTTCTTTGTTCACGTTCTTGCTCCAAGTAATCCCTACTTTACACAATTTTTAGAGTAGAGAATTGGATTTATTATTGCTTTCAGTCTATTTGGAAGACAATTTTAGAATTGTGTTACCAAAATAAAGATGCTTGAATACTTTAGTAATAACACAGTGATATCTGTCAGACCAAAATTCTAAACACATATTGAGGCTAATAAGGCTAATTCATTTTCTATCATTCTATCTCATGATAGAGGAATTAAAAAACACTAAGAAATTACCTCTTTATTCATTTTGAACCACTGATATTGTACAAAAGGATGTCCAGTTGCCCGGCAACACAATTTCACAAACTGTCCAGCCAAGACTGCCTTTGATTCTGGGTTTACAGTGATCTTTATTCCTTAAAAAAAAAAAAAAAGAAAGAAAAGAAAGAAAGAAAAAGTTAATAAAGTCATAGAAGAGGGGTTTCCTTGTTTATATTTCTAAAACCAAAAAAGAAAAAGAAAAAAGGAAGTATTTTGGAAATAACCTGCATATTCATCCTTGTGACAAATCGCCCATTCATCCCCCCCCCCAGATTTTGGGTTTGTGAAGTTCCAGGTTTTGTAAAACTAGGAGAAAAGAAACTCGCCCACAGAAAACTTTGATCTGTTGTACTTCCCACAACTGGGGCAGAAAACTGTTTGTCATATTTCTTCAATTCTTAGAAATATTTTTTCCACATTCTAACACATCTGAATCAGGATGCACCTTATAACAGACACCTGCCAGGTAGCAGTCACAACATAGTTTTCAGTGCCAGCTCTTTGAATATTTGGTCATAAATGCTCATATGGCCGGAACTTCAATTGAGTTAGTGCACTGTTAGTAAGACAAGTGTTGAGAAGAAATGCCACTAAAACTGTCTACAAAAGACATATGAATTTCAATGCTGTGATTTAGTATTAAATGACAATTATTCTGTTAGCAGAAAGATACAGAACCAGAAGAGCAGGATGTAAATTTGACATGTGATACAAACATTTCTCATTTGAGAAATGACTACCAGCATATTAACTAGGAAAACTTTTGACAGGAGTTTAAAGAAACTCCTGGAATCAATAATGAAAAAAGACCCTTCCCCGCCCGCCATCCCACCTCTCAATCACTCCCTCTGGGAAGCCTGCTGCCATGGCACAGGGATGCTCAGGCAGCCCCGAGAGAGGCCCACCCAGTGAGGACAGAAACGTGGCCTCCTGCTGATAGCCACGTGAACCAACCACCGAGAAGGGGATTCTCCAAACCCAGCCAAACCCTCGGGTGGCTTCGGCCTGACCAACAGCGTGATTGCCATCCCATTAGAGGCCCAACGTGAGCCCAAGCCACCCGGGAAAGCCACTTCTGGATTCTATACTCAGAAACTGGGTGAGATAATGAACGATGGCTGCTGTTGGTTTTGGGATAATTCGTTATGCAACAACAGATAACTGACACAAAAGAAACCAAAGTTAGGAAATTTTACATTTGCCAAGGTTATAACACATAATACTGGGTTGGTTGGCTTTTAGGAAGGGAGAAGAAAAGGTCATTAAAACATTATTAAATTTGCCCTGGCCAGTTTTGCTCAGTGGTTAAAGGGTCGGCCCACAGACTGGAGGGTCTCGGGTTCAATTCTGTCAAGGGCATGTACCTCAGTTGCAGGTTCAATTCCAGGGTCAGGGCACCAGGCTTCAATTGATGTGCTTCTCTCATGTTGATGTCTCTCTCTCTCTCTCTCCCTTCCATTCCCTTCCCTCTCCCTCTCCCTTTTCCTTTTCCTTTTCCTTTCCCTCTCCTCCCTCGCTTCCACTCTAAAAAAAAAAAAAAAAAAAAAAAAAAAAAAAATCAATGGAAAAAATATCCTCAGGTGAGGATTAAAAAACATATAAACTTAATTTCCCGCACCTACTTTTATTTTCTTTCCTCCTTTATTTTGAATATGATTTCTTGACAGTTTATTTTTCTTCTCAACCTACTAACCCAAAGGAACAAAACAAGATTGCAATTTAAGAGGAGTTAGTCTAAATAACAGCAATCTTAATACATCAAAAGTACCAAATTTTATGTACATTCAAACTCAAAGTTTGCACGTCTGTCCTATACCAACAATTTTTCTTGTCTAGTCTTACAACAAGCAAGCAAATACATGTATTTATTATCTAATGCTTCAAAGGCTGAGAACTGAAAGGAAAAATGTGATTTGGAAACCGCCCTGGGTGAGTAGTGAAGAAGAGAAGTCACAATACCTCCCATGTTTTAACCACATATATTTCCTTCCTCCCACAGAGTGTTGTATGACAGGGAACCATGTTCAACCTGTAACCACCCTCGCACTGCCAGTTAGAGGTGCTAAACAAAGGTAAGGAAAGAAGATGGCACAGTGCTGTGGAGGGTGCACCAAGGCATACACAAGGATAGTTTATAGGGTGAGTGCAGCCCTCGCCAGTGCTGCTAAATGGTTAAAACGTTGGACCTCAAACCAAAGGGTCATGGGTTCGATTCCCGATTAAAGGCACATACCTGGGTTGCAGATTCTATTCCAGACCCTGGATGGAGCATGGTTGGGAGGCAACCAATCGATTTCTCTCTCTCATATTAATGTCTTTCTCTCTCTCTCTCTCTTCCTTCCTTCCCTCCTTTCATTCTCTCTGAAAAGCCATGGGAAAAAATATACTCAGGTGAGGATTAAAAAAAAGGGGGGGGGAGGGGAAGGGTACAAATACATAGCTTCCTGGCAAACAGGTGTATTTTCAGATAACATCTGCAAAGAAGTCAGAGGTTACTTGATTTCTTGTAAGCCAGGGGGAATATGACTAGGTATGATGGAACACAAGGATTGTGCTTTCAACATACACATAAAAGAAAAATTAGGGTAATTCTTGAATTGAATAATGGATTCATCTTTGGTGTCTTTAAGTTATTCTCTCACATAAAGAACTTAAATATAGATATAATTTATGAACAGCTTTCTCAGGATCAGATCTATTGTATCCACTACAGAGCATCCATCTATTTACAGAGGCCATGAACCAAATTTTTTTTCCATCAGTTTTCATCTAAAACTCTTCCTCAAAGGTATTCTGAAACTTTTAAGCTATCATTGAAGAGTGCCCCCCAGTGTGCGAAATAAATGCCATTCCCCTTCCTCTCACAATCGGCCCCATCACACAACCAAAGTGTGCCCGTGTATGTCCCTCTTCTGAGTCAGTTCACATTTGCAGCTGCTGTGGTTACCCTAGGCTCATCGTATCCCTTCTCCTCCTGCGTTGCCCAGTGGCCCTGAACATCCCGGTGTGGAGACACTCTTTCAGACCTCAGTCACTGCTCCCTTTCTATCTCTTTGTTTCTTCCTCACCCTGTTCCATCCATTCCACCTTCGCCTCCTTTTGCTTCTTGATATTGTTACTTTGAAAATTTCTGCCACTCATGAAACAAGAAAAGTCCTTTATAAATATGATCTAGCATTTGAATACTTTTTAATTTGGCAAGAAGAAAAAAATGGAAGTCCATGGGTCAAAGAGACAACTGAGGTAATAATCTATAACTAAGTTCCCTGATTTGTATGGGTTCTAATCTACCTTTATTAATAACTGTGACTCTAGCCAAATGATAACTTATGGAAACTTCATGCTCCACACAAATGTTTGCTCGCCCTTAAATTTTAAATGTTCAGAACAGTAGTCTTCTGTTCCTTTACAGTGTGAAGATAAAATGTGAAGTAGAGGTATTTTGGATACCAAAGAATAATATTCAACAATGTTTGCTCTTGTTTTAGAGACAAGAAAGTAATAAAAAAAAATTAAAATTGATATTAGAAACATAACAGTGTACTACAAAAGGCTAAAGAAAAAAGTGAAGTGTTATGAAATAAAAAAGGAGTGGGGCAAATGGAAAAGAGGTCTTACATGCTACCCAATACATACGGAGAGTGAAACACCTTCTCTATGAAGAACTAGAGGCCCGGTGCATGAAATTTGTGGAAGGGCAGGTCCCAGCTGACTTCTGGATCCTGGAAAGCACCTGGGCCCCTGGGTCCCCATGCACCAACTTCCACCTGAGTCACGGTGCCCGAGTCCCCACATGGCGATGCAGTGAGCGCTGCCAGACGCTGCGGGGCCATGGCGCAGTGTGGGGCTCTGGGCCACCCAGTGGCGCTGCAATGAAGCAGTGTGCTCTCTTCTGGCCTGCCTCACAGAGCAGCTCCTGTGCGAACCCATGGGGAGCCCAACCGGCCCTTGTGGTCCTGGCACACTGGAAGAGACCACAGCACGGGAGCAGGGCAGGATCCTCACTGGCACCCTGCACCCGAGCATGGGAGTTTCTTCAGGGTGCAAGTCCTGGAATCCTAGGGGAGGGTAGCAGAAGGAGTGAGCTCAATGCACCTCCATCCAGTCACCCCTGCCCCCAGGCAGTGGGCAAGAGGTTGCAGCGCATTACCAATGCTCACCATGTTCCTCACCACACCCCGGTGGTCAGTGTACGTCATAGCAAGCGGTCGAACTCCTGGCCTCCTGGTTGAACTCCTGGTGGAACGACCACCCAAGGGGACAATTTGTATATTAGACTTTTATTATATAGATGAGATAAAATGGCAACATCTGTCCATTTACATACCAACAGTTACATTAAAGCCAAATGCACAGATGAACATGTCATAATTTTTGTTATAATAAATGCAAAATTTACAAAATAAATACATAAATAAATAAATAAATAAAATGGCAACATCACAAAACTGACGTTGGAAAGAAGCTTAGGATTCATCTAATAAAACCCACATGTAAAATTCTCTCTAATACCCCCCATTGTCCAGCCTCTGCTAAACCATTTCCAGGTCAGGGCATTTCTCTCTTGGCAACCATTTCGTGATCTATATAACTCTAACTGATAGAGCCTATAAATATGCACTCAAAACGTGTTCAATGGAAACAAAAGAAACAAATAAAAACATCACATCTAAGTTTACCTACATTTACTAAGGATACAGATACCAATATTGATTGCCTTGGAATCAAAGTTTTTGATGTTTTTTTAATGAAAATTAAAAAGGTCTAAAAAAAAAATTATGGACTTTTGGTCCAAACATTATGGACACCATCAATGCAAAATCTTAAAAATGACTATTTGTCATACTTGCTTTATCTCATTAATACACACACACACACACACACACACACACCAATAAATATGTGTATATTTATTTTTTGGCTTCAGCGTTTCAACTGAAATCTTACCCCTAAATAAATCTTCTGGCACATTTATTTAAAGCTCCCGTCCCCTTCCAATCCCCACTGAGATGACCAAGGAAACAAAAAGTAGGGAAACAATTAGTGGTAGAAAATGAGGATGGACACCATCCAAGCATAAAAACTAAGCAATTTCTCTAACAAAGTAGAAGCAAGACCAGACTGAGGGGCAAACTGGCTACCCAGGAGCTGTGGAAGAGCCTAGTTAGAGAGAAAGCAGAAGAGGGTAAAACCTCAGTTCTGTGGTATTCCTTCAGAAAACATATCAGGTATCAGAGCCCATGGACTGCAAGCTCCCCAGTGTGTTACCCTCCACTCAGACCTCATGCTAAGTGGGGGACCATTGAAGTTAGTTCCAATTCAAGGGAATTGCTCCAGAGATGGGAGGACGTTGCTCACCTACTTCTGGACTACCCAAATACATAAAAGAAACATGGTCAGCTTCTCAAAAACAGAGAACTCTGTACTACAGCCATTGCCTTTGGCTATCTCTGGCTGTCATCCACTAACCACTGGAATGGCATATGGCAAAGCAAGACCGAAAGAAAGCTAACACTCCCTCTGTTTCCTGCATTTAGGTTTGAAAGGCCTGTTCATAGGCTCACAGCATCTTTGACAATCAACCTACTCACTCAAAAGAGACCTCTCTATAAAGACAATCAGAGAAAAACCATTGGACTGTCTGTGAAATATGAACTAATGTTCTCCTATAAAAGTGCATTACTACAAAAAGAGAAAACAAATGTTTCTAAGTTTGCATTTTCAAGGAAAAAACTTAAAGTCAGATAAAATTTACTCTCTATGTATTTGTTATGAAGAGGCAATGAGAAACATGTCAAGCATACAATGCAGTGATAACACAAAGGAGGCATTTATAGGAGGCCTATTTTGTCATCTGCATTTGGTCTTGTAAAGCAGAAGATAATCTGAAAGTCCAAGTTTCCTGATTCATAATCCAGGATCCTTTCCATTTGTAGTAAGTATTTTAGTAACCTCTTCAGCATCTGTTATTTCCTTTCTCCTCCCAACAGGCCCACTTTGGTTTGGTGATCTATGTGTAGACTTTGTTTGGTGTGCTTTCTGAAAAGCTGACTCAACCCAACTCGACTCTTGGCTCTAAGCCAGGCAGTTCAGCACATTCCATTTCCCTGGCCAGAGCGACAGGTGTAGGGAGGGACAGGCACATGACCAAAATTAATTAGCTAGAGTGAATCTTATGATTTTTTTGCTGGGACAAAGATGAATGCAAGAACACCTAATAGATATCTTGTGCAAATGCAGAAAGTCAGTCTTAGGGGGAAGTCAACGATAAGAAAGGAAGAGCAAAAATAAAAATGAATCAACTCCTTGAAAATAGGCTGTCCCTGCCTTTCTTTTCTTAAAAAAATATATATATATTTTATTGATTTTTCCCCCCCGCCAGAGGCAGGGAGAGAGATAGAGAGCTAGAAACATCGATGAGAGAGAAACATCGATCAGCTGCCTCCTACACACCCCCTGCTGGGGATGTGCCTGCAACCAAGGCACATGCCCCTGACTGGAATGGAACCTGGGACCTCTCAGTCCGCAGGTCAATGCTCTATCCACAGAGCCAGACTTAGTTTTGGCCCTGCCTCCTTTCTTTTTTTTAATTTTAATTTTTTAAAATATATTTTATTGATTTTTTACAGAGAGGAAGAGAGAGGGAGAGTCAGAAACATCGATAAGAGAGCATCATTGATAAGCTGCTTCTTGCACACTCCCCACCAGGGATGTGCCCGTAACCAAGGTACATGCCCTTGACAGGAATCGAACCTGGGACCTTTCAGTCTGCAGATCAACGCTCTATCCACTGAGCCAAACCGGTTTTGGCCCTGCCTCCTTCTTGAAGCCCAATCTGCTTCAAGGCTTCTCAGTTAGAAGAACCAACATACTCCCTTTATGATGTCAATCTGAGTTGAGGTTTCTGGTACATGTAATTGATAGCACACCAGTACCATGTGCCCTTAATTCTCAAACCCCAAAACTGGCAAAGTAAAATATAAGACCTGAATTATAATTTTACATTCATCCTGCTAACTTTAAAAAAATATTATCACAAACCAGTGTGTTGTATAATTGCATACAGCAAAACCATGTAAAATAGAGAGCACGGAGTCCTTAGTCCATGGCCCTCCAGATCTTGACTGACTTCTTTGCTTTAAATGGCACACTGAGAAAAAAGGTGTGCGGTGCTGCTGCCATCAGAGGACTGAGCCGACCTGGACCCTTCTGCCCAACACTGCTGTAGCTGACTACTCTCTGTATTTATGGATGACAGGCGCTGTTTCCTATTCCTTACATCTAACTTTGGATGAGAAACCTCACTCAATATTGATATACTAAGAAAAAAAATCATATGGTTGAGTCAATCAACATTTCAAAAGCATCATATTGGCAAAAATCTTAAACAATGAATATTTGTCATACTTGCTTTATAATCATTAATACACACACACACACAAATCAAGAAATATGTCTATATATTTATTGTTTTTGGCTACACTGTTTCAATAGAAATCTTACCCTAAATACTTTAGCATGCATCTCCTTGAAATAAAGACATTCTTCTATAGAAGTACAGTACCATTATCACATTATTCCCTAATATCTAATATGCAGGTTATATTCAAATTATTCCACTTGTCCCAAATGTCTTGAATAGCTGATTTTTTTGAACCACAATCCAACCTATGCTTATGTACTGTATTTGCTTTTTATATATCCTTTATATGTGTCAACTTGGGGCAGAGGGGAGGATGAGGCTACATACATTTACTTTTTCCAAAAACATTTTTACTGATTTTGAGAGAGAGGAGGGAAAAGGAAAATGGAGAAACATCGATGTCAGAGTAAAACATCAATCAGCCATCCCCTATGTGCTTCCCACCAGGGATTGAGCCTAAAACCGGGGCATGTGCCCTGATTGGGAATCTAAACCACTAACCCTTTGGTGCATGGGACAACATCCATCCAACTGAGCAACACTGGCCAGCCAAAATATTTAACACAATTCTTCTGGTCAAGTAAGACAGTTCCCTCCAAGTTTGTTTCCATGAACTTCAGGAGAACATATCCAAGGGGAAAACCTACCTGGGGGGCTGAGAAGCTGAAGAACTTCAGTGTGTTCCATAGCCTGCAGGAAGTCACTCAGCTCTGTGACTGTACAACCTTTTTCACCCATTAGCTTCAGTAAACATAGGCTTGGGCTTCCTTCAGGCTCCAAGACCTTCAGAGAACACTGCTCCAAGTCCAGACAACTGAAAACAATGAAATTAATACAAGTCAACAATTTTCTTCAACACTAGAGGCTCAGTGCATGAATTTGTGCATGGGTGGGGTCCCTTGGGCTGGCCAGCAATTGGGGGTGATTTGGGCCATCTCACTCAGTCCGAATAAGGGCCAGCAGGCTGGGGAGGAGGGACCGCGGGAGGTTGGCAGGTCACAGGAGGTTGGCTGTGGGAGTGCACTGATCACCAGGGGGCAGCTCCTGCGTGGAGCATCTTTTTTTTTTTTTAATTGTTGAAAAAAATGGTGGTCAGTGCGGGTCATAGTGGCCAGTTGACAGGCTGTTCGGTCGCTTAGGCTTTTATAGGTATAGAGATATTAGATAATATGCCTGCTCTATGTTTGCTCCCAGAGGTGTTGTAGAAAATAAATCAGGGGGCATTGAGTGGTGAAAAACTATTTACATTGTGAATGCTACTGTTCTTTCTTCCTTCTTCTGCCATCATAGTGATTCCTCTTTATTCCCATGTCCAACTCAACTTCCATGGCTACTAAGTCAGGAGAATGAGAGAAAAATAGAAACTTCATGTGTGAGAAATCTGGCCTTGATTTTGATAAAAATTTTTACTTTTAACTTGGGAATAGGAAGATCAGATACATTTCTCTACTTTTTCTTGTACTTACATAAAATATAATGAAAAAATTAACATGAGTATCTATGTGTGTACTCAGATGAAAAAAAGTAGGATACAGAACAGTGTATGTCCTGCATGATACTATTTTAATTAGCAAGAGTATGTGCTTGTTCTTATACATTCAGAGTTAGCTTTGAGGAAAAATCTCTAAGAAATCGGTTGCACTGCTGACCCAGAGAAGGAACTAAGGGAGCAGAACTCATGGCTGGAGGATTCACTTCTCACTATAAAGCGTTTTGTACTATTGAACTTTAACTATGTACACTAATTTTTTTCAACAATTAAAAAAAAAGACAATTAATGCCACTGACATTCAAAGAACTTGTAAGTGCCCGGAAATACCCTAACACAGGGGGCAGGAAAACTATGGTCTGTGGGCTAAGCCTGTCTAGTCACCTGATTTTGTAAATAGTTTGACTGTGGAACACAGCTATACTAATTATTTTACGTATTTACAAATATATATGGCTGTTTTCCTATTCCAACAGAGAGCTGAGTAGTTTGTCTGCAAAGCTGAAAATATTTTTAATTTGGCTCTTTATAGAAAAGTTGGCAAATAGTAAGTATTCAATAAAAGCTATTGTTATGCAATAAAAAATATGGGAATATCAAAAAAATATGAAGGTCAATTTCTTAATTATGTTTATTTCTGGAACTTTTAACTTTACCATAAAAATGTTTTTGAGTAGCTACTATTTTGGTAACCTGATTTTGTCCTTCAAGGTTTCCCATCATTATATTAAATAGGTATTCTTTTCTAAGTGTCCTAGTTACATTTATATATTCAATAAATGTGAATCTTCACAATATAGATGATCCATTCCCAAATTCTGCACTGCAGACTACTGGCAGCACATTAAGAACATGGTAAAATGATGAAAATAAGGACAATGAAACTGTCTTTTACTCAAAGGTGGTTTTTCTATATTTTTAATTGTCAAAGTGTCCTTTCATTTATGAAATAACTGTGATTATAATAGTAGCAAATACAAAAGTTGATGCCATTTAGCCCTTTATTTGGTAAAAATTCATTTTACTAGTCCTTGTAATGGCCAGGTTAAGGAACCAGTATTAGAGACAATGTAAGAATTACCAATATTTTAAATAATGAGATTTATAAAAACAAAGGTGCTATGTGCTAAATATTACTCAGAAAGTTTATCAGGATCTGATACATGAAATTAAGAAGTCATCTCATCAAATGCAACCAAGTGATGCTTTAATGTTTACACTTATTTAGAGGGAAAAAAACACAAATTATCTTTTCCCCCACAAAATAAAAAAAGATCAAATGAAAGTCGACAATGACTTATCTTCCAAAACAAGAGGCACAGGAGAAAAACAAATTTCTCTATCTCCTTTCCTTTTACTAATTTTCCACACAGACGCTGGCTTTCAACTAAGATGTTGCTTATACATACCCGACTTTTCTTTCTTTCCTTTTTTAAGTTACATTCCTGTAAGACTGTGCTTTGAAGTGGTTTCTACTAGACCTAATTTGGAATTTCTGATTTAATTTAAAAGACTCTTACTGAACAAAATGGACTTTGCTTTTAAAAAGTCTATATTTATCTTTACTGTTACACAAATATAATCAAATAAAACATATTCATCCTTTGAAGTACAAACCATGGCATTGCTTTTAGGTTCTTTTGCTTCTTTTCTTGGTACATTTATTCTTTGGAATCTTTATTCCTTAAGTCAAAAACTAATTACTAATCACCTAAATTGGGCCAGCCTTTTTCCTAGGTATTGATGATATAGCAGCAAACAAAACAAAACTCCCTATCCTCATGGATTTTTCTATAGGAGAGCACGTGCTCGTGTATGCACATGCACACACACACAAACTTACTTCTCTTTCTGTATGTTCAGACAACCAATGTCATAGGTGCTTTGGAGGGTGGTGGGGGGGGGGCGGGAAGCAAAGCAGAGGCATAGGAATACCAGAGCAGAGAACAGATGTAGGGGGTAATTTTAAATGACATCATCAGAGAACTCATTGAGAGGCTAACTTTTAAGCAAACATTTGAGGGGTGAAGGAGCAAGTCACGTGGTTCATCTGTGAGACCACCTAAGCTGAGTAAGCAGCAGTACAAAGACCCTACTATATCCAAGGAGAAGCAAGAGAGTGAGTTTGAATGAGCAGAGAAAGGGAGGGAGACAATATAGGACCGCAGCTCCATGAGTTAAGTGGTAGCTCAATGGTGTTTTCACTGAGTTGTAAGCAGAGGGAGGATAATGTTTAAAAGAATCATTCGGACTGATATATTGAGAACAGACTGGGGTGAGGCAAACAATGCAGCAGGAGGAGAAGTTAAGTAGCTATTGGAATAATCCAAGTGAATGACACTGGTGGCTTACCCTAGTAAGTCCAGAAATCTAGAAACCCATGAATCCAGAATGATAGTATTTTGGAGGTTGTATTCTGGATCTATACTGTGGGGACAGCAGACAGGATGTGCTGAGAAAATGGATGTGGTGAGTGGAGTCAGGAAAGATCAGCAATTGCCATTTAGTTAGAGGCAAGAAACTCCAAGAGAAAGAAAGAAGCATATGTTAAGCTTCAGACGTGTTCCATTTAAGACGTCTGTCATTCAAGAAGTGATGGCAAATAGGTTTTACACAATGTGAATGGGGAGTTCAAAGCAGAGATATGGACTTAAAGTATGAATTGAGAGTAATCAACCTAAACATATGTAAGGTCAAATTAAAGGATAACACTAAGCAGGGAGGGGACTAGGTGAAGTGTGGATAGAGATACAAAGCCTGAGCCCTGAGGCGACAGACAGGAGAGCTTTTGTTCCAGCCTCTCACACAAGTTCTCATTCCTTCTACAAACTCCAGAGGGCAGGGTTTCTGCATCCACAGGAGCACCTTCTGTACAGCAGGTGCGCAGAGAATGACCGGTTTCCTAGTCCAAGTTCTTCAGCCTCATTCCTAAGCTCCCTCAGTCCAGGATTTTATGCAGCTCTGTCATCTTTGGGGCTTCCATGTTCTATGCCAGAATTTGTGTAGCTTGGCCAAGACACCCAGAACCTATGTCTATCTACATGGACCGCAAAGTGTTCAATATTAGCTCAGTCTGGCATGGAATTAGGGCATTCCATATGTACATGGTTGTGGGAAACTAAACTATATGCTAGGATTTATTCTGAGTCATCAATAACAATCTGAAAACATTTACAATTATTCCTAATCCCTGATGGACAGTTCAGAAGAGGCTCTTGTGGTTATTTTTTCTCATCTGGTTTGAGGAAGGATATACAGAGTCAGAAACAAGTGAAAGGAGACAGAATAGGCCACCTTTTGAGGTTTTAGGACCATGGATCCAGTGAAAACACTTCACATTTTCCTGGGAACTGTTACCCATTTGGACTCATACTACAATTCCTACGTCTGACTCTGGCGAAGACTTCCCTTAGGACTCTTTACTGTTATAGTTGCTCTTCTGCCATTAGTTTGAAATGACTTTAAAATAACTTTTTTTTTTTTTTTTTTGTCTTAAGAGAGTAAGCATCACCAGTTTACCTTGCCCCGCCCCAGCTGCCACTCTTTAGCCCCCGAGTTCCCAGGGCTAACCTTTTGTTGTATCAGCTGAATTCTGACTTCAATAGGTATATGAGCTTAATGTTACCCAATTCGTCGATCTTCAGGTTGCCCTGACTCTCCTCACCACAACCAGCCTGCTATGAACTAATCTTCAGCATCTTGGAAGACTGGCAAAACTCCAGCTGTCTCTTATCAGACTTTCCACCCTGAAATTCCCAGATTCCACAAATGCATGCCTTGTTGCTTGTCACCTCTTGCCAGGCAACTGCTCTTCTCTCTCTACTACTTCCACTAGAAATGTGGCCTCAAATTTTCTGTTAGTTCCCCCAAAGAAAGTTAACACCATCCTGTAGCCTTTAACAAAAACTGACTGAAGTCTTGGGAGGAAAACTGAACACCTGATGTTAGGTATCCACTACTTTTCGACTCCATCAGCTTTCCTTCTTCAGTGGCAGAGCCTTATTGTCTTCTCTCTCCTTCATGACCAAGTAGGGGCCCTTTTCAGGGAAGAGTACTAGATAACATCACACATTAACCAATCACAGACCTAGTGATCTGACCCCCAAAGAAGACAACTTTGTACATTATTCTAAGACTAGAAATTTAGAAATCTATGAATCTAGGATGATAGTATTTTGGATTTTTTTTGCATAGCCAAAAACAAAATGTGGTTTTCCTAGGACAGAAGAAAACTATGCCATCTGTCTGCTCAACTTTGTGAGCTTACCACGCTTACTCATCCCAACCTCTTATAGTTACTCCTCTATGTAATCCCAAATCATCACTACTCTGGTTTAACCCAAACTCTGAAACTTGGGTTTTTTTGTGAGAATTGAAGTAGAAGATGCACATAAGTACTTAGTACATTGGTATATGCTAAGTGTTTAATAAATGAAAAATTTTGTTATTATTCACACCCAATATAGCATTTAACATGTTATTTGTGAATGTTTCAGAATGACAGTCCATTAAGTCCCTATGAATAGGTAATACTTTAAAAAAATCTTAGTTTTAATTTCTAATATGGCAAATATCAGTGTATACTATATGTATGTGATGTATAGAACCCACATGAAAAAAAACTCTTTGGGGTCCTCATTCTTTTTTTTTTTTTTTTTTTTTTTTTTTTTTTAATATATATATATTTTATTTATTTTTCACAGAGAGGAAGGGAGAGGGATAGATAGCTAGAAACATCGATGAGAGTGAATCATCGACCAGCTGCCTCCTGCACACCCCCTACCGGGGATGTGCCTGCAACCAATGTACATGCCCTTGACCGGAATCGAACCTGGGACCTTTTGGTCCACAGACTGACGCTCTATCCACTGAGCCAAACCGGTTTTGGCTGGGGTCCTCATTCTTAAAGAGTGTAAAGGAGTCCTGAGACTGAAAGTTCAAGAACCACTAACTAGCCCAGGGGGCCCAAGCCTGGCAATAGGGAAATAGTTTCCCTTAGAGCTGAATGCTCAAGTCAAGAAGCAGACTTGATGCGCTGGTTTGAGGATGGTGAGTTTAGTTTCAGTCTCCCCCTACCTCAAAACCTTCATTCAGGAAGAACTCTTGCACCCCAAACCCCTCTCTCTCATTCTCCCTTTACCTGCACTTCTTCCTAGCTTTGCTGAAGTCTCCAAGTCTGTGTCTATATCCATTTTAAGTCCCAGGAGGAATCACTGCCCTATCAGAATGGTCTCCAGGGTGCCTTCCTTCTCTCCAAACCCACCACGTCCACTTTTCTTTCAGCTCTGGGGGAGGAGCGCGGCGAAAGGGTGTGGACGCCGGGCCCAATCTCTCCCATTCCCAGCACTTTCCTGGGTAAACGCTCTCCCTGGAAGGAAGGCCAGCGAAGTTCTCCCACGCCCCTCCCCCGGCGTCCCTGCCACACCCGCGGCTCTGCCCCGTCCCGGGCGGCCACGATCTCTCCAGCACCAGCCCGCCCTCCCACCCGTGCACCCCTCACCTCGACCCTGCGCCCCGGGCCCCTCACCTCAGCCGGAGGCGCCCCCGGCTCCCAGCCAGCTCCGCCAGCCTCCGCCAGCCGCGGCCCCCGGGAGCCCGGTCCAAGCTCCCGCTGAGCCTCCGCAGCAGCGGCTCCGGAAGACGGTTGAGGGTCGCGCTGCCCGGGGCGGGGAGCGGCGGCCCCGAGGGCGGGACCAGGGGCATCTGTTGCGAGGCCGGGGGCGAAGGGGCCTGCGGCGGCTCCCCGCACAGCGGCAGGTCCCGCGCCGGCGATGCCGCGACGGCCGCCGATCCCGCCGGCCGCATCGCGGTGTCGGCCCCGGCGCACCTTCCGCTCGCCCGGCGCTCGTCCGGGGCGCCGCCGCGGAGGTGAGGGCGGAAGGACGGGTCGGGCGGCGCTGCACCGCACACAGAGGAGGAGGAAGCTCGCCTCCCGCCCCGCCGCCGAGAGAGGTTTGCAGGGGGAGCCTGGGACCCACCGCACCAGCCGGGACGAGGGGGCGGGGCTTGAAGGGGGCGGGGTTTTTCAGGTGGGCGGGGCCTCCAGCTGCGCGCCTGCGCAGGACCGCGCACCTCGCTCGCCCTCCGCGGTGCCCGGGGACCTGCAGAGGCGCGCGCTTCAAACCCCGGGAGGTGGAGTCCTGGCGGAGCAGGAAGGATCGGGTGGTTGCCGCAGGAGGAGGAAGCGGTGGAGGAACTACGCCTGGGCGGCTCCACTCCGGCTGCGAGGAAGCCTGCGGAGTCGGGGCTTCCCGAGACCGTGGGAGGAGGATCGCCACGGAAGGGAGCGCCAGGCTCTCGGTCGCCGGCCCCGGCCGCCTGCCCGCGGTGACTTGGCGTGTGCCCTGTGACGCCACCAGCACCCGCATTGGGCAACCTCCGCGGGGGCTTCCTTGTTTTAGGGATTGATGTGTGTGTGGCATTGTTCAAGGAAGTGGTGCTAGACATTCATATAATGGAAATAATCCGCAATCTGTGCCCAGACAAAACACACACACACACACACACACACACACACACACACACACACACACACGGCTGTGTCGTACTTAAAAAGATCTTGGAAATGATTGTTTTTTTAGCAGGGATCGCCTGGTTTCCTCCCAAGTCAGACTGCCACTCACAATTTTAATAAATCAAAGTATGCAACCTTATAGAGATTGCCCTCTCCTGGAGGGGTCCAGCATAGATTAAATAAACGCTGACTACACCTAAGCTCTCTCTCCCAATAGTAGCAGTATTCAAGGTCGGTGTCCCATTGAAAACAAAGGGTCGCTTGGGACAAAAGCAGCACAAGGCTTCCTGGCCCAATTTACTTTTTCCTCACAGGACAGCAGGGTTTTCTGTAGCAACTAGAGGCTCAATGCATGAAAATTCATGCACTGAGGAGTAGGGAGGGGGGAGTGTCCCTCAGCCCAGCCTGACCCCTCTCACAGTCTGAGAGCCCTCAAGAGTGGGAGGCTACCCGGTGATCAGGGGAAGGCAACACCCCCATCACAACTATGCTGCTGCCACTGCCAGCAGCGCAAGCTGAGCGTGGGGTGGCCCTGGGTGTCTGGGCAGCCACCACCTGAGGCTTGCCTGTGCCTCTGGCAGGCCCTGGATGGCTGGGGGGCTGAGGAGACTGGGTAACTCCAGAGGCAGGCGTGTGGAGGCAGGCCCGGCCTTTCTGTGCACCTACCACCACAGCCGGGCTGAGGGGACTGGGCACCACCGGGATTCAAGTAACATATTCCCTCTTTATTAGATAGGATAATTGGCACACCCAAATTCTCAGTACCTGTTGGCAAGATAGTTGCTTCATGTACAGTCTTCACCACATTTTAGCACAAGCAATCACTATACTTTTTCATCGCTGTAAGTTCAGAGTTCAGATGCAGTATAATGGCTCAGCGCATGACCTTTGGATCCAGAAACATCTGCTTGATTCTAGTTTTAAGACCCTGAATAAAATTACTTAATCCTTTGCCACATCTGTAAAATGAGACTGGGCATATAGTACTTATAGAGTTGTAACCATAATTAAAGAAGTTGCTGTATGTAAAACACTAATCTCTGCTTGGCACAGAGTAGATAATAATGGATAGCTATTATCCTTGCAAATGCAAAAGCTTGTTTCATACTCAATTTGCCTTGTTCTGGGAAAAGTAACTCTGTTTATTAATACTCTGAAAATTGCTACATTAACTTTGGGAACAACATAATAAAGAACAATTCAGCTTCCTCTTCTACATGCCAATCATTATTTATAATAATAAAAGCATAATATGCTAATTAGACTGGAGGTTCTTCCAGCCTAAGTGGGGGCTGAGAGGGAAGCTGTCCTGGGTGCTGGAGGGAAGCCGGTGCCGGCAGCTGGGGGAAGGAAGGCCCACTCTTGCACGAATTTTGTGCATTGGGCCTCTAGTGTTTATATTAAAGATAGGAGAAAAACAGCCTATCTGGCTTTTAAATGCCCCTTAAAGTTCATGCATATCTATAGATAATATACTTGGAAGTCCTCCCTCACTAGTTGAAAGTGACAAATCTTTGGGAATCCAGACAATTGGCAGGAAGCTTGTGGTTTCATTCAATGGAAATCCATTGATGTAACCTTCAAAACACTCACAAAACTGGAAACTGACTCATAGATGTTTTTCCTTTACACAATTTGTCTCTAGATAGCACTCTTAACTAAAAATGCCAAAACAACATATCAACTGATATCTGCATAGGTTTTCAGTCCAGCTTGGGAGAAAACCTGCAGGTCTTGGGATCCATCTACAACAGAGGGGAAGGAACCAGGAGTCTTGTGACTTGAACGGCATTCTTTACCTCTCACCCTTATGCCATGCTCTGCACCCTTTGTGACCTCTGACTCAGCCTCTGTGTGGAGGCCACTGAGTCACCTCTTAGCATAAGGGTCTCCACATCCCTTACTGCCCCTACTTGCTGGAATATAAAGGATTAGGGGCATTTTCCAATTTTAATTTCAACTTTGGAAGGGTACTAAGCTTTGCACTAGTATTTCACACTCTTCCTTCACAATAAATCATGCATGGCAAGGACTACATTTACTTATCTACATTCATTCATTCATTGTGCCAGGCTCTGTGCCAAAACTGTTAAATTATGGTTTTAATTTTGTTTTGCTTTTATTAAGGCTTTACTTTGTCAGAGCAGTTTTAGATTCACAGCAAAATTGAGGGGAAGGTATAGAGATTTCCATTATACCCTCTACCCTCGCATGTACACAGCCTCCTCCATTATCAAACCCCCCATTAGAATGATATGGTACATTTGTTACAACTGATGAACCTACACTGATACATCATTATACACTAAGTCTATATTTATGTTAGGGTTCACTTATGGCGGTGTGCATTCTCATCTCATGGCACACATAAACTAATTACTAAAATTCTGTGGCACACCAAAATATACATTGTATCTTTTGCCGACCGAGCAGAAAAAAATCGGTATAATTTTGATTCAATCACACTGGACAGCTGTTGTGTTGGCTGCTGTCATTTTTCTATTTGACAATCTAAGGGAAAAGAGCTTAGTATCCTTGACTAAATACTCAGGTAGTACGTTTTAAAAATTTCTGTAGCACACCAGTTGAATTGTATAACAACATGTACCCAACATTACAATATCATGCTGAGAATCTTAACTGTCCTAGAAATTTTCATTGCTCTAATTCATACCTCCTTCCTCCCAATTCTTTGCAATTATTGGCCTTTTTACTGTCTCCATGTTTTTGCATTTTCCAGAATGTCATATCTTTGAAATTATCCAGCCTTTGCTGATTGGCTTCTTTCACATAGTAATATGCATTTAAGTTTCTTCCAGGTCTTTTTATGACTTGATAGCTCATTTCTTTTTTTATTTATTTATTATTTATTATTTATTTATTTTTATTATTTTTTTTAATCAATCTCCATTGTTCATATTGTTACAAAGGTTCCCCATTTCTTCCCCCTCCACCAGGTTCCCACCCCACCCTCCACCCCCTCCCCATCCCCCATTGTCCTCATCCATAGGTGCAGTTTATGTTCAGTCTCTTCCTCCCTCCCTTTCCCCGACAGTAAATCCCTTTTCAGATAGTAAGTCAGTTACTTAGCATTTTCTCATATCAATAATACCACCACATGCCCAATGATACATTTCACACAAAAGACATTTCCAAATAGGTCAACCAGCCTCATCCAGGCCCCACCCAAGGCACTCACAGATCAACACAGATCAACACCCCAGCACTATACTAACTCAACATATCCAGATCTAAGCCTTCATCACTTGACTCAGCAGACCCTCAAGTTCCCACAAAAGTTTCCAGCCATGTCTGAGAGGCAGCCGTGGGGCAGGGGCAGGCGAGGAACGAGCTGTTCCGGGCCTGGCCGCACCAGACCCGGCTGCTCTGGGCCTGGCCGCTCCCAGCCTGGCAGCCGCTGCTCCGGGCCTGGCTGCAGCAGACCCGGCTGCTCTGGGCCCAGCTTCCCTGGGCCCGGCCGCTCCGAGTCTGGCCGCTCCCAGCCTGGATGCTCCGGGCTTGGCTACTGCTGTTCTGGGCCTGGCTGCTCCTAACCCGGCTGCTCTGGGCCCGGCTTCTCCGGGCCCGGCCACTCCGGGTCTGGGTGTTCCTGGACTGGCCACCCTGGGCTTGGCTGCCTCCACCTCAGGCCTGGCTGCCACTGCCCCAGGTCTGGCTGCTCCAGTGCTGGCTTTTGTTGCTCTGGTTCTGGCTGCTGCTGCTCTGGGGCCTGGCCGTTGCTGCTCCAGGCCCGGTTGCCACTGCTTTGTGCCTGGGCGCTCATTTCTTTTTAGCACGGAAGAATATTCCATTGTCTGGATGTACCACAATTTATCCATTCACCCACTGAAGGACATCTTGATTACTTCCAAGGTCTGGCAATTGTGAATTTGTGTAGGCATAAATTTTCAACTCCTTTGGATAAATTCTAAGGAGTCCAATGGCTAGAGTGTATGGTAGAGTGAGTTTAACTTAGTAAGAAATTGACAAACTGTTTTTCAAAGGGGCTGTACCATTTTGCATCCCACCAGCAGTGAATGAGAGTCCTGTCACTCTACAACTAGGCCAACATTTGGTATTGTTACTGTTTCATATTTTGGAGAGGACAGTGTTTTGTTTTGTTTTGTTTTGTTTTGTTTTGTTTTGTTTTACAGGAAAGTTAAAAATCATGACGCTCAACAAGTGTGTCAAAGATTTTATTTAACACGTAAATAAACCAGAAAGAGAACCAGAAAGGTGTTACAACCACTTCAAAGGAGAAACTAAAAACAAAGTAAACATGTAAGCCCAGGAGGATGCTGAAATGGATTAGCTTAATAGATGCAAAACTGGCTTCTTCCACACTGGGAGAGGGATATTTATCAAAGCTCTATTAAAAGAATTTACGTGATTATAATTAAGTATTATTTGTGTCACTATCAGTTTTCTACACTTTCAATTTTTCAGACTATCAAAGTAGCCAAATCAAAG